TCTGGTGCCCACAGATGCAGCGGGTACCCAGAGTATTGCTATAGAAACCGGCACCGGATATTGTCTGCTATCAGTTCAGCGGCTTTTCCTTCCCTCCCTGTGTCTCCAGAACAATGAGCTCGCTGAACCACAGTCAAACATCCAAACTCCTCTCCAGCCCGAGAGACGTGACAGTAAGAACGGAAGTCAGGGCCGTGTGGGCTACGAAGGAGGGGTTGCACCACCGCAGAGGTCTGAGTCCATCTGGAAAGAAAGGCAAGGGCATCCTCTGTGTCCCCCGTGTGGCCCGGCCTCTTCCTCCTCCCAGCAGAGAGATGGCTGGGGGCCGTTGGGACAAAGTGGGTGATGCCAGGAATGACAGCCGCCCCCGCTGAGCGCCCAGTCCCAGGCACCTGGCGATGGACACATCCCCATCCATCCTTACAGCCATACTCGTTCCCTGCAGCCGCTCCCAAGCATGGCCACAAACCCAGAGACTGAAACAACAGTTTTACAGTTCTGGACACCAGAGATCCAAACTGAGACTCCCGGGCTGGAGTCTGGGTGTCGTAGGGCTGTCTCCTTCAGGGGGCACCCGGGAGGATCCGCTTCCTGCCTGTGCAGCTCCAGAGGCCCCTGGTCCTTGGCCCGAGCCGCCTTCTTCCTGCACTTCCAGCCTCTGTGGTACACGTCCTACTTCCTCCTGGGCCTTCCTGCTTCTCCCACTAGGGTCCGAGTGATGGGATGTATGACCCACCGTATAACATGGGGTCATCTCTTCGAGATTCTTACCTCAGTCACATGTGCAGAGTAAGTTCTGTCGGCTCAGACACAAGTCCAGGATGAGGCTGCGACCTTTGGGGGCCATCTTTCAGCCAGCCACATCTTCTGAAGGAATTTCTGTCACACTCCCCATTTTTCCAGTCAGAAAACAGGCACGGCCATTTAAATATGTCGTTCAGTGCTACACTGTGTCCATTTTTGCTGCTATAATAAGACTCCTGAGCCTGGGTAACCTACAAACAAGGGTTCTGCGTCCAGTCGAGACCCAGCAGGGCTGGTGTCTGGTGAAGGCTGCCCTCTTCTTCCAAGATGGTGCCGTGGGCTGTGTCCTCGAGAGGGAGGGAAGTGGTGTCCTCAGGTGGCAGAGAGGTAGAAGGGTGAGAGAGCACTCTCCTCCTCCTGATCCGCATCGTGACCCTTTTCCCCAGGGCCACACCCTGAACGCTGTTGCTTAGGGAATTTTTAACATAAACTTTGGAGAGGCACTCTAACCTTTTCTGTGAGAAGATCCTAGCCCCTAACCTTCCCAAAATTTCTATCCGAATCTTCCCTGGACCACACATCAGGCCCTTTCCAAGCTACCAGGCAACTGGCTGTTCCAATAGAATCAAAGAATATTAAGTATCCTATTTGGTAGGAACCAAACAAACCAACATTGGTCAAGTATAACCAACCATTTGATTTGTCAATAAAGATTTATTGGCACGCAGCCATGCTCATTCATTGAGGTGTGGCCTAGAGCTGCCTTCTCAATGGCAGACCCACGTACTTGCAGCAGGGACTGTCTGGTCTGGAAAGTCTAACGTATTTGCTAGCTGTCTGTTTACAGAAATGGCTTGGAAACCTGAAATAGACCGCCTGATCCAAACCCACTTCACAGGTGAAGATACCAAGGTCCAAACACTTACAAGCCAGAGCCAGAGTCCGACAGCAAGCTGTGGGGAAGGCCCACAGTGCCTAGCTGTTGTTGTTCATCCACCAGCCCTCTCAGGATCCCTCACATTCCTCCATATGCCACTTGAATCTGGGCACAACAGCCCTTCTGAGCTGACTTGCCAGCTGGACCCTGCCAAAGCCCACCTAGACCCTCTCTCCCTGATGTGGTCAGGGTTTGCAAGGGAATAGATTTAATACAGGACACATAATTTATAGGATTATTTTATATACTCACCCAAAAATTCAAGTGCAGAGGAGTGCGGGAGATCTGCCCACACACGAGAGACCCGGAATCCAGCCGAGGGCCTGGACCCCACAGCAGTGTCCCACGCAAGTCCACCTGAAGGCCCAGAGCCCATGGCGATGTCTCTCGAAAGTCCGTATGGAGGATCTGCCCAGGAAGGCCCAAAGGCCAGCGAGGGGTGGAAGCTTAGAAAACCTGTGCTTAGAAAGCAGTGAAGGATTTGTGCCACCAGCTGAGGGACTGCACTGGAGCCACGAAGCAACACTCAAGGCTTCAAAGACCAGAGCTCCCCTGAGGAGAACAGCAGCCATCCCGGCAACAGCGAGGACCTGAGCTCCTCTGATGATGAGAACAGCCTTGGCAAGCCTCCGGGGAAAACCAGCAGCATCCAGTCTTCCCTCCAGTTCTCCTTTTATGCATTGGCAGCAGTCCTCGGGCAGGTCTTCCACGCCCAGAACCACACTGACTCAGTTCAGCCAGTGTTCCAGGTTGACTGTTAGTCCAACACACTCCCCTCCCGGCACCTCTCTTGATGCGGGGATTTAAGTGCTGGCTACCCTGTTTGAGTCGGCCACCTCCCTCCCTCTGTGCATCCCAGCCACTCACCAGGGCTAACAAACCTGGCTTGTCCCAGAATTCCCAGAATGCAGGTGCCCGGGCCCCACCCCAGTTGTAACCTGGCTAAACTGTGAGCCACTCGGCTGCTTCTGGGTTGCAGTCAATGTGAACAACTTCAGAACGCAGTAGGCACCAGGGGAGGAATGTTCCCCTAAAAAATCTATAAGGAAAGGGCCATCTATGTTTTTCCTGAGCATTCTGCACCCTCTCCTTGACTCAAGGCCTAGAATTCCTTCCCATCTCCTACTCTTCCAAAGAATACATCACAGACAATGCTATTCTCCTCTCTGAGCAGGCAAGATAAGATTTTTTTTAATGAGTTGCTACCAAAGAATCCATGGTCTTATAAACGATTAAGGTCAGAGTGATGACAAGAAGGAGACGTTGAAAGGAGAGAAGAGGTACAGAGAAAATCCCAGGAGAAGCCGGACTCCTGGGTTTGGGGGGAGCCAGCAGTCCTGGTCACCGAGGCCTCGGGAGACTGCACAAGGTCCTTGCCCCTCTGATATTTATCAGGCACCGCTGCTGCCCCAGGCCTGGGACGTCAAGGCAGTAGCCAAGGGCAGCACTGTGACAGCAGTACAGCCTGCCAGGCCCTGGGGCTGGGGCTGTGCTTGGGGCCACTAAGCCACAGAAAGAGAAGGCACCTCTGAGGACAACCTGGGGGAGTCTCGGCCACCTGAGGCTCCTTTCCAAGGCTGACAAAGACAGTGACAAAAATAAGCCCTGCTTCACCTGAGACAGTCCGATCCAATTCAATTTCAAGCCAGCATGTGTGTGTTTATTGAGTGCCCGATTCAGTTTAGGTGACGCGCCAGGCTGAGGAAGCCACTGCCCCCCCCAGGTCCACGGGCCCCAACACCTGATCGCATTAGCTTCACAGGGAAGAAACTGGTGTCTCAGTCTATTTGGCGAGCAAGTACTGGTGCCTACACCTGCCAGTCACTGTTCCAGGGCTGCGGCAGGAGCAGCAAGCCCAGCAGGCAGGTCTCTGTCCTCCTGGGGTCTGTGTGCTGACTGGCATCGTGGGGCCGAGAGGCGGGGCAGAGGTTCTGGGAGAAGCAGAGGCCGTGTGGGATGTGAAGTGTGGCTTGGGGTTTTTAAAGGGCTGGAGGCCTGCACCCCACAGCCTGGGCTGAGCCTTCCCAGATGGCTCCCTGGGGTGCCTGGTGCATCCTAGGAAATGACCAGAGATCATCAGTGTCACACAGGGCTGAGGCACAGGGCTGAGGCTGTGGCCCCACAGCCTTCGTCAGACACCAGTTCTCCTCACCCTGTCCTCTGGCTCCTTACCCTCAGTAAACATAGGTCTGCTTTCTGGGAAATGGGGACCCACACACCTAGCTCCAAGGTGGGTCCGAGGCACATGGGTGAGATGTGGAATGGGGTTACGGAGACAGACACGCGCCTATGTCGCTGCTTACGGTAAACGTCACGTGGAAGCTCAGACTTCGGGAGGCCTGGAATCCAGGAGCCTGGTTGCCTTGGACCAGATTCTCGTGCCTCGCTCTGGCCCAGGCCCAGAATGGCCTCCATAGTGCGTTGCTCAAAGTGTGGGCCCTGCTCCCCTTAAGTCAGAGTCACAGGTAGGGTCTGTTTATTAAAGTAGAGGCCTTGGACTCTTCGCTGTCTACATCTCTGGAGTGGCCCGGAACTGCATTTTAATGCCCCTCCCCATCCCTGCCCCTGACTTTGGAAGAGAAATTTTCTCTAGAAATGCACATCTGCTTCTCCCATACCCGGCCAGGACCTGGGGGTGAGGTGGGATCTGCACCATAACCCCCCCAATTCTGAGGGGCCTTAAACTCACCTGGAGGCCTGTAAAACGACCACTGCTTTCCCGCCCAGAACCCCAGGATGGGACCTGTGTCCAGGTGGCCCCTCTGCTGCCTCCAACACTGCCCCGAAGCCGGGGGAGCTGTGCACTGGCGGAGGACTGGGAGCTGCTGCCCCATGCAGGCTGGGCTCGGGCTGCAGTGCACTCTAGCCTGCAACAAGCTCAAGGCCACAGCCCGGAACTGAGGTTCCAGACCTTGGGGAGACCACGGCCCCTGGCCGAGCTTGCTGCTGTCTGGGCTCGGAGAGGCCCCTGTGGACTTGGCTAGGTGCCTTGGCCAGGTGGGAGGGACACCGGGGCTCTTGGGATTGGGCGCCCAGCGAGCAGCCGGCTTGCTCTGTGCCCCTGTGCTCCAAGTGCCACATCGCCTCCCAAGCCGCGGGGGCCAGGAGTGCCTGTCACTCGCTGTCCCGGTCCCCACATGAGGAGATCGAGGCCCCGCAACAGCGATGGCACGGAGCCTGCCCCCGGGTCGCCGGCCGGCCCGGGCTGCCTGGGGAGACTGTCGCCGGCCTGCGGGGTCCCGAGGCAGGGACAGGGCGAGAGGGGGCCGGGAACGGGGCGGGTCCCCGGCGCATCATCCTCACCCCCGTGTCCCCCCAGGCCCTTCCTCGTGCTGCCGCCGCTGATGGAGTGGATCCGGGTCGCCGTGGCGCACGCCGGCCACCGCCGCAGCTTCTCCATGGACAGCGACGACGTCCGCCAGGCGGCCCGGCTGCTGCTGCCCGGCGTGGACTGCGAGCCGCGCCAGCTCCGGTAGGGACGGGGCGGCGGGGGGAGGGGGTCGCACGTCCTGCATCGCGCGGAGGGGGGGCGGGGGGCGGACGCGGGGGGGGGGCGGGTGACGTCCCCAAGTCGCCGCCCCCAGGGTCCGCGGGGCTATCGGCTGCTCCCCGTGGGTGGCCGTCCTGGTCCTCCTTCCGGTGACGCTGCCCCCCGGTGGTCTGGGAGCAGAGCGCAGCTTGCTGTACCAGGCGCCCTGTGCCCGCTGGCTGCTGGGGGTGAGGGGTCTGGGGAGCCCCTGCTCACAGCTGGGGCTGTGCCCGGAGAGCAGTAGACGTCACGCTCCTCGGGAGTCCTGCCTGGCCCCGGGTGCCGTGTCCCCGCGTCCGTGTGTGCACACGCATGGGCTGCACTTTCCCAACTCCCGGGCTGTCTTCCGGGTCCCTGCCATCAGTCGACTCCCTGCACCCCACGGGTCGAAAGTGCTCCCCTGACCTCCCCAGCGCATCCCACCCTGGCCAGGGAGCCGTGGGGGAGGGTGTGGAACGCAGCACACGCTGGGTCCTGATGCCAGCTCTGCCAGTGTCTGCCACAGCCCGGCAGAGTCCCTTCCCATGGACTGATTGATGTCTGACCCCCAAGCCCCGTGAAGCAGGTGTTAGTGTGCCCACGTCAAAGATGGGGAAACTGAGGCACAGATAGGTTAAGTACCATGCCAGGGAGACTGCATCAGAAATGCCCAGACCCCTGGGCCCTTGCTCTAGCTCCCGGGCTCTCGCCTGCGGGTGTCTGGCTAGGCAGCGTGTGGCTGTGCCACCAGGACTTCCCCTGCCCCTAGAAGAGCACCGGGTCTCAGGGAGGCTGAGGGCAGCCATTTATCACGCAACTGCGTGTTCCAGGTTTCGCAGCAGGGAGATGTTTGTACCCTGAGCCGTCTCCTTCCGTCCCTCCTACAGCCACAGGTTAGCGTCGCCTTTCGGTTAGGACAGCATGGGTGGGGCAGCCGGCAGCAGGGGTTCGGGGAGGAGATCCCAGGGGCTCGGCCTCTGCCCACCTCAGCTCATCCCTGGGTGTGCTGGCTGCCCTAGCTCGCCTCCATCATAAGGCCGGACTGCTGAGGGGCAGGGGAAGTGGGGTGTGTCCTGAACACCAAAGTGACAGCGCTCCTCCTCGGCTGAGCTGTCACGAAGCCCCTCAGCTGAAAGAGTGGGTGCCTCCAGACCCCATTGCCCGGGTCCAGACGCCGCGCTCTGGTCAGTCGGCTGTGCTCCTGGCCAAGCTCGCTAACCTCTCTGGGCCTTGGTCTCCCCACGAGGAACATGGAGATAGGAGTAGAGGTCCGTGCACGCTCCAGGTGAGCTCGGGAACCTGACACACCTGCACAGACCATAGCCGCAAGGACATAAGGGCTCAGGATGTCTCCACGCCCCTGCAGAGGCACGGGGCATGCAGGGAAGGGCTTTGTGGTCGGAAGGCCTTTGACCTTCCTCTGAGGAGGCGCGAGGTGGACCTTGGTGTCCAGAAAAGTGGTGCTGCTGGCTGCACAGAGGAGCAAACCAAGGCCCCGAGAGCATCGGAGGCTCCCAGACACACACAGTGTCCAGCAGCAGGGCCAGGAGCACTGGCACACCCAGGCCACGTGGGTCTAACTGGGTGCTAACAGAGCATGCACACACATTAGCCCTGTCCTTGTCCCTTAACCAGTACAGTGTGACAGCTGTTTACATAGTGTGTGCATTGTGTCAGTGCCACAGCCGAGGCTGTCGGGCACATGTAGTTGACATGAACTCTGCCCAACTGCACATCAAGGAATCCCCAAATCTGCTGCAGGCCTGGAACCTGTCCCTTGGGGATACCGAAGGCAGCTGCACACTTATCCTGTCCCCGCCCCAGACTGGACAGGCCTCTGTGACCCTCTTCGGGGCGGATCTGTTCCTCTTCACAATTCCAGACGCGAGTCTCCAGCAGTGCAGGGTGTGGTCTGGTGACCCGTGGTGTCACTCCAGCAGTCACAGCAAGGATGTCTCAGTGCTGGCACTTGGGTGTGAGTGGGATGTGGAGAGAGACCCAAGGCCCAGAGGCCAGCTCCATCCGAAACCCTGGGCTCTGAGTCGCGTGTCTCCTCCATCCTCGATGCATTTGTCCCCCGAATGACCATGCATCTATAGAGCTGTACTTGTCAGTTGTTCCAGCCACATCTTAATCACATTTGGAGATAATTTCCAAAGAAATAACTAAAATACAATCAGCCCCCCATAGCTGCAGGTTCTTGGTCCATAAATTCAACTAACTGTGAATCACAGATTTTTTTAAAAAAATTTGTTTCTGTATTGATTAAGTATAGACTTGGTCATTATTCCCTACATGATACAGTATAACAACTATTTACAGAGCATTTGCAACAAATTAGGTATTGCAAGTACTCTGCAGTGATTTACAGTGTGCAGGTGGATTGCACAGGTTATGTGCAAAGTCTTCCACATGGGGATTTGAGCATTCACGGCTTTGGATTCACGCGTGTTCCTCCCCACCATCACCAGCTCTGTGTAGTATCCCACTAGTTTTCCTAAATAACAAGGGCGAGACCGGTTCTATTAACTAGAGGAAATCAGTACATGAAAACGCGCGCCTCCCCTTCCACCCGATAACTCCGTGTACCCGTCTCTCCATGCATCTTCCAGTCTTGCTCACTAGGACGGAAACTGCTGTCTCCATATCAGAGAAGCTCTGCCCAGCAAGGAGCCCAGTTGACCTACCCTGTGTCCCACAGTCACTGTCCCATGCTGTGCATGGCAGGCTGTCACCCCATTTCACAGATCCGAAGGGTCAAGGTACCGTTCCGATTGCTGTAGTCAGGGCTTGCAAGGGAATAGATTGAATACAAGACACATAATTTATAGGATTATTTTATAATATTCACCCAAAAAGTCAGATGCAGAGGAGTGCAGGAGATCTGTCCACACGTGAGAGACCCGAAGGATCCAGTCAAGGGCCTGGATCCCACAGCAGTGTCCTGCACAAGTCTGGCATTTGAAAGCCTAGAGCCCAAGGCAGTGTCCCCACGAGTCCAGCCAGAGGCCCAGAGCCCACGGCGATGTCTCATGCAAGTGCATGTGGAGGGTCCCAAAGGCCAGCAGCAGAAGCTAGAAAGCCCGCACCCATGGGATGAAGGATTTGTGCCAAGGAGAACAGCAGCCATTCCTGGTGACGGCTAGGACCCGAGCTCCTCTCACAGTGAGAACAGCCGAGTTCCCACTAGGAAAACCAAGCCTCCCCAGGAAAACCAACAGCCTCGGATCTTCCCCTCCAGTTCTCCTTTTATACCGCTGGCAGCAATCCTCAGGCGGGTCTTCCACGCTGACTCGGTTCAGCCAGCATTCCAAGTTAGTTCGTCCACCACATAGGTCCTCGGGTTGCCAGGTGGCTCCCAGCTCAGAGTCAGCGCTGAGGCCCCATCTACATAGGAACAGCCTGAGAGGGTGAGGTTCGAGGGCCCCTGACGGTGCAGGAACACGGTGTTGACGGCTGGATGCTGGTGCCACTGGCCTGGTTCATTGCCTGCCAGCTGGCTGAGGTTTCCTGCAGGGAGGCAGCCGGGACCCCACCAGGAAGGGGCACCTCGCCAGGCTCCCGCGTCCGCACTGTGCCACTGTGGGTTCTCAGTGACCTTGGCCAGCCGCAGCGGGAGCTGGCTTTTGTCTCTACCCAGCTGCAGCAAGGCCTCACCACGGTGATCAGGTATTCAGAGAGCAGTGCCTCTCCACGCCCAGCTGCTCCTGTGCCCATGGTGACCGCTTTGTTCTTCCTTCGTGAAAGCCTCGGGTCTTGGGCCAAGGCAGCCCTTTTCTTCCTCCTGCTCACTTTTCCAGAAGAGAGGGATGGGGGAAGTGGAGGGAGGAAAGAGCAGTTAATACTCCTTGGCAGCCTCACGTGTTTTCTTAATTATTGCTTCTGCAGTGCTTCAGAAATACCAAGATAAGGGCTGCTACTTTCCTCCGTTGGTGGGAGGTGGCTTTTCTGCTCTGGAGGGGCTGTTAGATAGAGGTAGAAGGGTGTGACCAGATGCCCTCGTAGCTGATAGGTGGCACCTTCACGAGACCTGAGGGCATTAGAACCCTGTGCTCTTTCCAGAACATAGCGTCTGTGTGCAAATGTTGCAAACCAGCTTTTGAGCTGTCCACAAAGGAAGGGCTTGGGTGGCGAAGGCACAGGACAGGGACCCGGGCCAGCACATCCAGGCCTCTGCCCCTCTGCTGTGTTTCCTGGGTCCCTACTACATGCCCGCCCCACACAAAGCCCCCTTCTAGTCTGCTGCTCTGCAGTGGGTGACCTGGCCAGGTCACTTTCCTTATCCACACGGCTCGGTTTAGCCTCTTTTGAATTTTTATTTTTATGAGTGCATATTGGCGATACCTAATGATCACATTCATTGCAGGGAACTGGTGCATGCTCATCCACATCTTAACTATCTTTCCATCCCCTTCCCCCCCATCTCTTGGTCCCCTCCCTTTTGCAAAATATCTGTCCCCGCTTCCTGTGGTCCATCATTTATTTTGCTCTCTAATTTATTTCTACTTTGGATTTCTCATTGAGGACAAACCATGCGACCATGTTTGCAAGGTGAGAGGCACCTGTGCTTCGTGGACCAGGGCACCACAGGCAGGCAGGGTGGAACTGAACGAGTCACACCACCTTGGCTGCTGCTGCCAGTCCTTCCCAGCTCCCAGGCGCTCTGCTAGGCGCTGGGCTTTGGGATCTGTTTGGTGTGGGCCTGACTGAGTTCTGAGGTGAAGGTGACACAGGGAGCCCTGTCCTGAAACTCCCGGTGACAGGGATGGCAGCAGTTCAGGTTCCTTCAACAGTTTGTGGGGCGTGGGTGGCCACCAGCCACAGAGCACATGTGCGCCTTTGGGAGTGGTCTCAATAGGGGGCTCCAGGCCAGAGTAAGGGGGTGCTGGTTCCAAGGCCCCCCAGATAACAAAGCTGGAGGATGCTAAGCCCCTTAGACAGAAAGGTGTCACATTTGCGTAGAAGCCAGCATGTCCTCCCTGTACCCACCACTGGCTCTGGGTGGCTCACCCGGTACAGTGTGCGTGCTGCGAGCATGGCTGTGCAGTGCCATGCAGGGGACAGTGCCGAGGAGCAGCCTGTACGTGTGCGGGGCAGATGCAGTCACATCGGAGGCTCCCACCAGGGCTCGCTGCATCCACGGCTGCAGACACCTCACTGGCCTTGGGGAAACTGAGTCCTCAGGACATGCCATCCACCAGAAGATGCAGGCAGCAAACAGGCGTGACAGAGGGCAAGATGCTGCCGTGGATCCAAGATGACCAGGGAAGGAAGCGGCCAGCAGTGGAGGAACGTAAGGGCGGCTTCCGACGGCTGCAGGGAAGGGGGCACTGCCGAGCTCCTGCTTTACCGGGACATCCACATCTTGGGGACTCAGGGCTGATGGAGAAACCTAGGGTGGGAGAAGAGCAGCACAGGACACATCCAACACAGCAGGTTCCCTTGTCACGTTGTGTAGACCCCCGAACCCCAGCCTTGGCCCACCCCGTTCTGCCCTCAGAAGGTTGCCTGCAGAGCTGGGCCCCTGGCCAGCCATGACAGCTCTGTGGCCTAGAGGGCTCCTCAGCCCTCAGCTGCTGCCCCCACTCCCCTTGCATGTCCTTGTCCCTGTGTGCCCTGGTGTGTTTCCGGTTCCTGGGCTTGTCTGGCCCCCCTTCTGCTCCAGGGGCCATCACTGGCCTCGCTGCCCACCTACTACGACTGCCCAGAGCTGCTGCCCCCAGAAGAGGTCAGTACATTAGTGCCTCCTGGAACCCGAATGCCCTCTCCCCGATTGGGCAATCTGTGGCAGCTGTCCTCCTCCAGCAGGGTCAGGGACAGGCCACACAGCCTGCCCAAGAGCTGGCTTGGCACCAGGCGCTCAGCAAAGGCCTGCATGGCGCCTACTGCATGCTGGGCTGGAGGTGGGTGGGGAGGTCCAGAAATCCACGGAGGCACCATCTCATCCGTATCCTGCAGAGAAGCAGGAGCCCCGAGAAACAGGTCCCTGCAGAGGAGACCTTGTGGGCTGGGACACCAGGGAGCAGAAAGGACCAGTGCAGCTGCAGAGCCCAGAGCGGGGCCACATTCGGCCACAGGGTCCTTCATGTCTTGTCAAAGAACCCTGACTCTGAGCCAGGCGGTGGCCGTGGGGCCCTGGGCTCCATCCCCAGCATCTGGGGAAAGAAAACAAAGGTTGACCCTGAGGTTTCTGGGTTGGGAGTTTGTCCAGCAAGGGATGCTTTCCCCAGGACGCTCTGTGGCCTGCACAGAAGCATCGATGGTTTTGGCTTGGAAATGTTAGTGTCCCTCCCAGTAGAGGGTGCCGAGCAAGCTTCTCCCTGCCTGGCCTCTCCTTAGCTAGGAACACAGGCCTTGTGGCCAGGCTGCCGGGATTCAAATCCAGGCTGGACCACTTACTCCCTGTGTGACCCTGGCCATGCTGCTCACCCCTCTAGGCCTCAGTTTCTGGATCAGTAAAATGATAACAATAATAAACCACTTGGTGAGGCCGTCGGCAGGATTAGAGATAATTCACATGAGCCCTGTGGCATAATGCTTACATCACGGTAATGCAGGTGGACGAGTGGCCATTGTCTTTGCTCCATCCCCTCAGCACCGTGAGGATCAGCTCTTCCATCAAATACTACAGTTTTGCCTCACTCTGGCATGAGAGAAGTCAGGTGCATGAGAAGCAGTAGTTGCCAGGCGTGGTGGTGCACTCAGGAGGCTGAGGCTGGAGGATCACTGAGCTCAAGACCAGCCTGAGCTACAGAAGTAGTGACCACCTGGGAGACGGCCCACAGCCCCACCAGAGGTCCAAGGTGGCTCACACCTTCTGCCATCATTGAGGGGTCAGTCCTCTGAGTGCAGGAGGAGAATCAGCCAGGTGACCGGCTTGGGAGCCACTGTCCCAGCTGTGTGACAGGCCTTGCCTTTTCTCTGAGGCATGAGGTGATGGTGGCCCTGGTTGGCTGGAGTCCCCAGCCCACCCCCAGCAGCAGCAGTAGAGCCACTAAGGGGGAGTGGGCGGGAGGTGAGGACAGATGTGTGCAGACCACACTCGTGGCCCCAATGGCCAGGGGAGCTGCGGGGGGGCAGAGAACATTCGGGAAGAAACCGACCCAGCAAGGCCGTCACCTCCACAGTCGGCTCACAGCCCAGGTCCCGAAAGTCAGTACCAAGCAGATGAGGCAGCAGGCACCGAGGACAGTGAGGTGGAGTGGGGTCGCCAGAGGGCAATGCTGCGACACCAGAAGGGATGTGGGCTGAAAAGAGGCACCGGCCAGCAGCAGGCACATTAGTACCCCACGAAGTGCACTCGGAAGAGCAGCCAGGAGAGGCTGGAAGCAGATGGCAGGTGGCAGACAGTTTGCCAATGCTTGGACTCCATCCAGAGGTTCCAAAGTGTTAAATGGAAAACAGAAGCACAGTTGGTGCCAATGGCGACACTGAGCCACATCTTCCGTGGCAGTGGGTCGCGTGTCCAAGCTGGGGCTGCCTGTCTGAGGGTGCGGGGTCTGCTGTCCTGGGGACAGGGATGGGTGTGGTTTTCATCTTTTCTTTCTGGGCCCAGTGTTGATTCTGCTTGATTTTCACCCAATGTGCTCCTGACTCACCTGGCAAACCTCTTGAGCTCTAGATAACATCTGGGTTCTGCTGGAACCGCATCTTTCCACAAAGCCATGTCCTCACCACAAAAAGCTCCATGCGAAGGTGCCTTGGGTCTCCCTGAGGGAGCAGGGCCCATCCTGGGGACGCCACAGCATCACCACACCCTGTGTGTGTGCTGTTCTCCCAGGTACGCTACCCCACCAGTGGGATGAGCCCCAGTGTTTTCCAGCTGTGGAAATTGTTCAGTTTTGGAGTCAGACATTAGCTGTGCAAAGTGGCAGGGACATTCTGACTTTCAGGGGAGACTAAGTCACGGAGGCAGTGAGGGAAGTAAGAGCAACTTGAACTCGAGTCCTCCCTTGTGTCTGAGATGACCTGGTCCTGGGTCTCCCCCACCCCATGAGGGGCTGTCTTTCCCTCTTCATCCCGAGGAACCCGGAGCTCTGGGCCGTGGAGAGCAGGACCCCATCCCAAGCCCGTGCTCTCTCTAGAAAGGTGGCTCCGGGTGGGCTCCGAGTGGTTTGTGAACCTCACTTTGCCTTGGGCCCACGGCTGAGGCAGCTGCATTGGCCACAAGTGCCGCTCCTCTTTGGAATCCCTGTGCCCTCCCCAGCTTTGGCCCATGCCAGATCTCCCTGTGAGGAGGAAACAAACGCACAATTAGAAATATGTGGCCAAGAAATAAGTGAGAAATCCGTGGTACTGGTGACACTGGAAATGCAGATTCGAAGTGCACCAAAGTATACATTTCACGCCAGCGGACGGGGAAGATTCGTCTGCTAATTCCAGTTGGGCCAAGACGGGAGTAGTGAGAAGTCTCAGGCACCGCAGGAGGGGACCTGGAATCCACTTCCTGGTGAACTTGAAACATACCATTCTGCTCTCAAGTCTGTCCCTGGAGAAGCACTTCCATGTGGAGATAAGGAGGCATGGGCGAGGTGTTTACAGGTGCTGTTTACAACAGCAAAACAGAGAACACGCTGTGTGCCCCTGGGTGAACGGATAAACAAGTTACGGCCTGGAAAATAAACGTTCACTGCCTGGAAAGCTGAGTAACAGTGGGAATAAATGAACTAGAATCTACATGTTTCTACGTGGCTAACTCCCAAATTCTGTACAAAAGAGAAATGCAAGCTTCTGAGAAGGATTTATGTAGTCTGCTAACATTTATGTGAAGTTTGCCAATGTGTAAAAAAGCCCATAGATATTTATGAATTCATATATACAGAGTGCACAAAAAGTATACATCAGGAAAAGAAAAACTTGTGTAAATACTTCAATACTAAATTTATGGAAACATCATGAGATTAATACAAGTTATCTTCAGCCTCTACAACTGCAAGAGGTGCTCAAAGTGGTGGCCATCGCTTTCAGAATGTATTATTTTTCTTTTCCTGAAGTGTGTAGACATTTTTTGGCGGATGTGTATACACCAAAGCGTGCATGGTAGATGTCAGATTCCAGGGTCCTCGCAGGAAGGTAGAGGACCAGATGGAGCCCGAGGATGGGACTTGTGTGTTTGCACGGCTTTATTTTCTCATCTTGGTTGGGTGATGAGCGTGTATTTTATGTGTGCCTATAATTCATCAACGGTAAAGCTATCTACTTAGTATTTGCAACAGCACGTTCAGAAGGCCAGTTCTGGGCTTTTTATAAGCATTAAGCAAATTATGACTAAGCATTACAAAAGTGTTAAGTGACTCAACAAATTTAGGAAATGCTAGCTTAAATAAAGCTTCATGAACTGCTTTAAATTTAGATGGCGTGTGTGGAAGGGTCCGCTTAGCATACAGATTTGTTAGCTGCAACAGACAGGCAGGATACCACGGCTTGGACCAACCATCCAGGCACAAGCAGTCCTGGGCTCTAGCAGCTCTCCATGAGGTCAGGACTCGGGCACTCTCCTGCGTGTTGCTCTGCTGTCCCTTGGTTGGCACCTTCCTCCGCATGGCCCCACCCAGCACGACATCTAACTAGTGTTATGGGGAAAGTAGAAGGGGAAGGCAGGCACAGAGATTGCACACAGCACTCCTTCTCACATCCCATTGGCCAGAACATGCTCAGGTGACCATACATGACAGCAAGGCAGCCTGGGAAATGTAGTCTATCTAAGCAGCCATGTGCCAGCTAAAAATGTGAGTCCTGCAACAATACAGGAGGAAGATAAGGATGACAAACAGTCTCTGTTGGAAGAGACGCGTTAAGAGCTTGCATCCTTAATCAGGGTGAGTATTTCCCTATATGAAGATCATATTTTTCACTCTTTTAAAAAATAAGCTGTGATGGTGAAGGGAGAGATCTAGAATGCTGCTTCATCATTTTCTATGCAAAACATCATGACAACCTACTCAGACATTAGCACACCGGTTCCTTCCTCGTGAGGGGTTTGCAGCCCTTGATTTTGAGATCAATCATTTTGAACATCTCTGAGCAGAGCTAGAATTTCTGTCTTTGGGGAGAGGCAAGGCAGTGGCTCTGTGCCAGTACCGGGCTGAGTCCTGAGAAGTCAGGGTTTGAAGCCCAGGACTTCTCTCCAAAGCAGAAAGGGTTGGCAAGGCGGGGCTTTGCTTTTCCCCATCCAGGGCCGGTTTCATGAGCGGGTTCTTCTCTGCACTTGGGTGGGCACAATTGTGGACCAAGATTCCTCCCAGGAACTCCGCCAGCCTTGCATGTTCTATGTACTGCAATTGGAGAATTTTTTTCTGTCTTAGAAAGGTGCACGGAGATTTCAGCGTGACTTACCTCAGCACAGAGCACTCTCAATTTGCTAATCTTTTTTACCATGCAAAAGAAAAGAAAAGAGCATCAGTTTCAAGGCAGGAAGCTGTGAGGAGACTTGGCTAAGGCTGCGGTAGGGAGGTGTGCTGGGGGACAGTGCCATTCACGATTCATTTCCAAAGCCACCGTTTTCTCATCACACTTACGGAGTCCTGTAAGGGGAACTGCTTGATGTATAAGAAATGATGCCGGGTTTCTCCACCTTAGCACCACTGACATTTGGAGCTGGTGGTTCTTTGATGCAGTGGGGCATTGCAGCGGATTTGGCAGCACCCTGGCCTCTCCAGGCTGGCAGCACTGGCCCAGTGTGACACCCGAGCGTCAGGATCAGCCCTGGTGACAGTCACAGGCCTGGGTCAGCCAAACCTCCAGGTATCCATCGCCAGGTTCTTAGAGGAAGTGCAGGCTTTTGTTCCCACGCACGTCTGCGACTCATCACTTAGTCAGATCTTGGGCTTGCAGGTTTTTGGTTTTCCGAGGGTCGGGGGAGGTTTTTTGTTTTGTTTGTGTTTTGCAGTACTGGGGATGGAACCCTGGTCTTCGTGACGAGCTGCATCCTCAGTCCTATTTTAAATTCTTACATTTTGAGACAAGGTCTCCCTAACTTTAGGTTGCACAGACTGGGCTGAAACGTGCTGTGTCCCGCCTCAGCCTCCCAGAGTGCTGGGCTGACAGGTGTGCAGACCACACCTGCCGAGGCTTCCTGTTTCTTGATGTCAAGAAGCCAGGGAGTTGGGTGGAGGGCTCTTTCAGGCTGTCATTCTGGCTCTGCACATCAGGAGCTGGGAAACAGTACTTGTCTCTCCCACGCGCCTCAGAGGAAAGCCAGACGGGGCGAGGGCAGAGGGAGGGCACGCGGGGTACGGCCGGAAAGGGAGGGCGTGGGTGTGGCCAGCCGGAGGGGAACCGGAAGTGGTTGAGAAGGAGGCCGCAGAGCTGCTTCAGACCGGAGGCCGCGGCTGGGAGCTTGTCTTCCCTGGACTCAGCCCGTACCCGGCGTCTGGTAACCACTAGCCCAGGTGGTACTGGCTGTCGCAGTCTCAGCAGGCAGAGCAGCCGAGCAGAAGGGCGTGGTCGGTTGGTCGGAGAGGCCCAGCAGCTGCCGGCCTGGGCTCCATCCCGGCTCCGAACCCCACTGTGCGACCTCCAGTAAGTTCCTCAGCCTCTCGGGGCTGGGACTTCCTCTCCTCAAAACTGAAGATAAATTTTGTAGGCTCAAAGAAAGGATTCAGTAAGAGGATGTATGTGAATGAGTGTATTTTTATGCGCATGTGTGACACATAAACACTCATTCACATAAAGGTATAGGCAACAGTAATACACAAAAATGGGGGTGTGTAAAGTTAGAATCATTCCGGGCACATAGTAGGTGCTACAAAAGTGTTTGCCGTTATTTGAGAGCCAATAAAACATTTCTGGTGTGGAAGCACTCAGAGTTAGCACAGTGCTTGATGTGGAATAAGCAATTGGAATGAATTAATGAAACTCTGTTTTTCTTTCTTATTGTGATGCGGGCATGGAACCCAGAGGCTTGCCCATGCCAGCCAAGCACTCTGCCCCCCAAGCCATCTCCCCAGCCTTTTTTATTTTGAGACAGGCCCTCAGTTGCCCAGGCTGGCCTCCAACTTGTGATCCTCCTGACTCAGCCTCCAGAGTAGCTGGCATTCCAGGTGTGCACCACCATGCCTGGCCTAATGAAGACTTCTTCCCTTTGTGGTACTAGAGCCTACCCCATTTCACCTTGTCCAGGGTCCGGGGCAGATGCCCCCAGAGCCAGAATCGCATGGCTGGGGCTGGACGTGGGACAGCAGGGAGAGCTGGGCGGGCCTGCCCCAGCCGAGGCTTTCGGGCTCAGGCCATTCCACACACGGGGGGCTCCAGCCTGGGTCTGCCTCGCGCCTCTGTACCCGCCGGCTGCTTTCCCCTCCACACTTCCCTCCCGCCTCTGCCGCAGGGCCGGCTCTGCAGGGCCCTGGGCTGCTTTGAAGCAGAAGCACAAGGCAGTGGCCTTGGCCTTGTCCCTGCCCCTTGCCAGCGCACACCTGCACCCCAGCCCAGAGTCCTGGGGGTGCACCCAGGGCCCGGTGTTGCACGCCTGACCCTGGGAGCCACAAAGAGCCCCTCGTTTCGCGGCCCTGCCAGCCTTGATGGCTCGCTGCCTGCTGTCCTCACCCAGAGCCAAAGATGGGAAGTTAGGGATGCGCCGAGGGGCCTGGCACATGCCTACCAGGAGAGGAGCTGCAAGGGCTGCTGTCTCCAGGCCCGGCCCGTGTGAGGGAGTGGCGGTCGGTTGCAGCGGGACTCTGCAGTATCGCACTGAGCTGTGACGGCTCTGTCACTCGGGTGACAGATCGGCCAGCGCGGGCTATGGGGGCTGTGGCACCATCTGGGGACGCAGCCTCCTCCCATCTTGTCGCCTGGTATTGCTCCAGAGCAGGTGCCGGCAAAGTGACCCCTGTCAGCCTCTTGGATTTCGAAGTAAAGTTTTATTAGAGCACAGCAACACCTGCTTGCTTCCAGACCCCAGGCTGGGACAGAGTGAGTCACAGCTGAGAGTGTGTGGCCTGTGAGCAGCAGAGAGTGACGCCTGCCTCTTGAAGAGTCGGAGCATTGAAGCGTCGTCCCCAGCCTTGTGGCCGTGCCCGGGAGCGTGGGCCACTCCGGGTCCCTGCAGAAGAGCTGCTCGCCCACCTTCCCGGGGACAGCCTGGAGATGGGGCCGCCAGGCGCTGGCTGCAGCCAGCCCCGTCCACACCGGGCCTGCGTGTAGGAGGGGTGGCCTGCCCTGAGCACTGGGGCAGAGGACGGGGCCTCGAGCAGATGCGCGTCACGAAGTGGGGTGAAGAGCCCAGGAAAGCCAGCCCCTGTCACCTTGTCTCTGCCGTGGGGCCCGCCTTTGGCTCTGGTCGGGGTGGAAGCCAGAGTTGGGCTACCTGGGCTCTGAGCCCCGAGCCTGTGAGAGCCGCACCCCAGCGCTTGCTTTCAGGGTCTGCCCTGTGCCAGGAACCTGGGCCGGGTGTGGCTTGGGCTCCGGAGAGCACTCGGGCACTCGGCTGGCAGCCAGGAAGGCCCCACCCTGTGCAGCACTGTCCCCGTGTGTTCTCTTTGACCTCGACACAGAAAGTGACAGGAGGCCGTGTCATGGGCTGTCTCGTAGGTGGGGGAACTGCGGCCGGGAGCGGCTGTTGCCCCCCCAAGTTCCCATGGCGAGTAAGAAGCAGATGTGAACGTGGGTTTGGGCTCCACCTCTGCTGCCTTGTGAGGGCACAGGCTGTGGTGTCAGGCATGCAGGCCGTGGCCAGGGAATGCGGCAAATAATAACAGAAGCGCTGACCTCCTTCCAGGCGAGATCCACCAAGGCCAGGAACAGCTCCTCGCCGAGGCTGGCATGCAGGAGAGCACCTCGAGGGGTGGCTCGCTGCTGACTGTGGCTGTGGGACCCCGGGGCAGAGCCCAGGACGGGGAGTCCATGGGGTCCGGGTTGGTCCTGGAGCCCTGGGCCGCCTACTGCCGCCCGCTGCCCATGCACCTGTGGGCGCCTCTCCTCGCCTGCGGAGCACTGCAGAGCTGTGCTGGCCTCGTACTGACTCTGTCCCCAGCCCCGTTGTCACCTACAATTGCGGGCAGAGCCCTGCTAGCCAGGCAGCAACCTCTCAGGAGCGGGGCCTCCCGCTGCCCAGGCGCCCTGGGGAGGTGAGCTCTGTTAGACCTGTGTCTCTCTGAGGCTCGGGTCACACTTTGACTGACTGTCCTGAAGTCCGTCTGCTTCTGCCTCTCCCACACGTGCCTGTCCTTCGTGCAGGCTGGTTTTGCTCTGTAATTGACGGTCATGATAGGAGGTCTCCAGGTCTGGGAGAGCTGTGTGCCGGAGCCGTGCTCTGTTAGGCGCTATGCGTGGCCTCTCATTCAGGCGAGGAGTACAGACTGTTACCAAGCTCACTGTCCAGGAGAGAAGACCTCACAGCCGCTCAGCAGCTCTGGGGTTTGAATCTGCCAGTGAGACACAGGCTTGGGCCTTAACTGGTGTGTAGCATTGGAGGGTACCGGATGCACAAAGGTGTCCGGTGTGGCTGGCTTGGATTTGTGGCTGGACTGGGGGCAAGCCCTCTGCAGACATCTCTCTCTGCAGTGGGAGACATTGAGCCAGCCTCTTGGGACCCGGGCACCTGAGAAATTCACCACCTCAGTTGCCACCTGCTTGCTTGAATTGATCGGGTTTTTATCGCGTTGCTGGAAGCCACTCCAGGGAGAACCATGGGGGGGGGGTCAGTCACCTCCTGGTGAAGCCCCAGATGACCGGCTTTTCCGCATGAATAAGGCGAGCACACAGGAGGGCACACTCACTGGCTCAGGCCATGGGGAGCTGCTGGCTGCCAGCAGAGGAGACAGAGAAGAGATAAAGCCCTGAGCTGGCTTTGCAGGAATTTTCCTTCTTTTTCAGAGTTACTTTTTCCAACAAACCAGGCTGGACCCACAACCATGCTTTCACAGACTTTAATGGAAGATGTTTCCTACCCACCTTGGTCTGCTTGCCTGCCTCCGTGTAAAGTTCAGGAGCAACAGCCTTTATTTACTCTGTGTGTCCCAGGAGTTCTGATGAACTGGGGTTTCCTGCGCCTGCTCTTTGGAATGAATGGCACCAGGATGCTCCAGCAGGGAAAGAGGCTCTTCAGTACGTGGTGCTGGGAAAAGTGGACATGGACATCCAGAGGAATGAGAGTGGACCCGTACTTCACACCGTATACAAACACCAACTCAAAATGAATTCAAGACTTAAACATAGGACTGAAACTATAAAACTGCTTTAAAAATGTGTAGACGAAAAGCTCCATGACATTGATTTTCAGTGATTTCTTGGCTGTGTCTCCAAAGCAAAAAAAGACAAGTGGGATTGCGCTGAATTCAAAAGTACAGCAAAGGAAACATCACCAGGGTGAAGGGACAGCCTACAGAATGGGAGAAGATGCTCGCAAACACACATCTGCAGGGTTCCTACCCAAAATGCGGCAGGAACTCAATTCAAAGCAGGACAGTAAATCACTCAGTTTAAAAATGAGCCAAGGACCTGAATAGACATGGCTCAAAAGGAGGCACAGAAACAGCTAACGTGTGTATGAAAAATGCTCCACAGCACTAATCCTCAGGGAGAAGAAATTAAAACCACAGGAAGGGCCAGGGATGTAGCTCAGTGGCACCTCGCCTGCCTCACAAGCACAAGGTCCTGAGTTTGAGCCCCATTACCGAAAAAAAAACCACAGGAAGATATCAGCTTCCATTGATGGAATAGCTGCTGTCAAAAAGATAAGTATCAGGGCGGGGATTTAGCTCAGTGGTTCTACCACCTGCCTCGAAAGCACAAGGTCCAGAGTTCGATCCCCAGTACCAAAAAAAAGGTTAAGTATCAGCAAGGGTGTGAAAAAAGGGGATCCTTGCCTACTGTTTCTGAGAACACAAAATAGGACAACCACACGGGAAGCATTAGGGAGGGTCCTCAAAAACTAAAATATAAATAGAGTACTATCGGATCCAGCAATCCTGCCGCTGGGCACATATCCAAAGGCCACAAAATCAGTGAATGGAGGAGATGTCGTGTGTCACTGAAACCCTGTCCAGAATAGCCAAGATAACCAAGATACGAAATCAACCCAGCTGTCCACCTGCTAATGAATGGACAAAGACAGCATGGCTCTTACACATGTGCTGCCATTTAAAAGGAATCCCTGTCACTCAAGAGAGCATCGATGAACCTGGAGGACGCTATGTTAAGTAAAATAAGCCAGGAACAGAAAGATAAATACCACGTGGACTGCCTTGTATGTGGAATCTGAAAGGGCTGAGATGGTGGAAAGAGTAGGATGTGGTCACCAGGCCCTGGCCATGGGGAGGGGGACCAGAGAGATGTTGGTCAAAGCCTGCAAATTTCCAGTTAGGCAGGAGGAAGAAATTCAAGAGATCAGTGGTAGGGCACGGGTACTGTGGTTACTTTGTACCCTGGAAATTGCTGAGAGTAGATCTGAAGTGTTCTCACCACAAATAAACAATAAGCTTTCGGGATAATGCACACGTTGTCTTGTATTCCACAAGCCATATGCATTTCCAAACATCACACAGCACACCATAAACATATACAGTGTTAGTGGTCAATCACAATAAATCAGCTGCTTTTTTAAAGAATGAATGGTAGTGACCACATCCTGTCCATCGGTCACAACTCCACTGTCTCAGCAACAACAGAGTGGCCAGTGTGGCCCAGGCCCAGGAGAAGGAGAGGCTGGTGGAGGAAACCAGCTTTTAAAAAGTAAACAAAAAAGCCAGGCGTGGTGGCACACTCAGGAGGCTGAGGCAAGTGGATCTCTGTGAGTCCGAGGCCAGCCTGGGCTATAAAGGGAGACTCTGCCTCAAAAAACCAAACAAACCAAAAAAAGTAAATGAAAAAAATAGAACTGTGAATGGTGCCGTGGCAGAGCCGGGCGAGACTGGCAGGGAGGTGGGGTGGAGGGACAGGAGGGTAAAGAGGGCACTGTGGTGGCCGAGCACCCGCTTGCCTGGAGGGGAAGGGAGGAGCCGCTCTGCAGAGCCAGGAAGGGCTCCGGGCTCCGGGCTGCGGGCACAGGCTGTGGAGGGGCAGGAGCTGGGCTAGGCCCGCAGGGCAGAGGTGCGGAGCGGCTTCTTCTTCGGGCCCCTGGAAGCCGTCAGGGGCCCCACGGAGCCTGACCCATTCTGTGGCCACGTCCAGAGCTCCCCCACCTCGTGGAGACGATTTGGCTGCAGAGAGGGAGGAGCTCGAGAGAACTCTGAGGCTCTCACGTCCGGGCCCGCAGCCACCCTGGGCTGAGGACCGGGAACATGGAGGCGGGAGCAGTGGTGGATTTGGGACTGGGGTGGCAGAGCAGGGCCGGCAGAGGGACAGGGCATGGGGCCCAAGTCTGGCCTGAGTGCCTGGCGGGTGGCCGCTGATGACGAGGAGGAGTCAGACAGTCTGGGCTTCCTAACGCTCCGTTTGGGACGGGCTGTGGGACCTCAGCACAATGAGGTCAAGTTGGGATTGGGTGTGGGGCGTGTGGGCAGGATGGAGGGGTGGGTGGGGTGTCGGGTCCTCTGCTCAGCCCTTAACCTGTGCTGTGACTCAGTTTCCTCATCTCCAGAGTGGGCTTTCAGTAGCACTCAGCTCATGGGTGTAGTGCATACACAGGAAGGGCCTAGGTTGCAAGAGTGAGTGTGCAGTAAACGTCAACTTCCTGTGATGGAAATTATCAGCATCATCTTAGCTGCAGTGATTTTCTTGCCATTTGTCTCTTTCTAATTAAAATCAAGGCCCTTGGGAGCTGGTAAACACTTCTGATGCTTTCGGGGCTCCGGGACTCAGCTGCACTGCAGGGAGGAAAAAACAAAATCGAAAACACTGACCAGAGTGAGTCCCCAAAGCAGCGAGGTGATCAGAAGGGACTCGGGGCCGCTGAGGGGACAGGACTGGGTTGTCGGGGTGACGACACCTGCCGCACCCTCATGCAAGAAGGGCGGACACCTGCAGGTCGGCCTCCACCCCTGCCTTCCCAAGGCCTCTGGGCGCTCGCCCGAAGACCTCCTGCCCCGACCCCTCTGCTGCCCTTCTGTGCTCCCGAAGCTCCTTCCATGGCCATTTTGAGGGGCCCCGGCCCCGGGTGAACCCCGTCCACACGCCCGGCCAGTGCTGCCCTCAAGGCGGACACTGCACCTCGGGCTCGGCGCAGCCTCTCTCCAGGTCAGAGGGGATGCAGGGACTTCTCCATCCCGTGCTGTGCTGCGCTGCTTCCGGGGCCTGATCGGCGACCCTAGCCCAGGAGCTGGGCCAGGCGGCCTGCAGCCCGGCCCACGCTCGGTCCTCCCGGGCGAGCACCTCCGGCTGGGAGCCCAGTCCCTAGACGGCTCCGCAGGCCCACAGGCTCCTGGCAGCTGTGCCTGCACAGAGCCCCCTCCACTCCAGGCCACCCTTCCTTCTGGCCCATCTGCACCGCACCTGCGCCCTCTGGCGGCCGGAAGCTGCTCCCCTGGGTGCCAAGCAGCAGGGGCTGAAGGGTGGCTCAGGAGCCCCTTGAAAGCTCAGCGCCCCCCCCCACACCGCGCCGCTTCGGAGGATCCCCCACCTCAGTCCCCGGGGTCACCTCTCCAGATCCTGGCCTCACACAAACGTCCAGCAGCACATCGTCCTCTCAGTTCCTCCAGGGGCGGAAGGGAGGTCGTACATACACACACACACACGCAGGCACGCACGGCAAACTCTGAGTCAGCGCCTGGCACCTCACCTGCACCATGAGAGGAAGTGGGGGACAACTCTGCTCCTGAGGGCGCCGGGTCTGAGAGGCAGACGCTGCAGGGAGAAAGCCTGCACGGGCCCTGTCCCCAAGCCACTGTCCTCAGTCCCGACACTTCCTGCCTGCCACTTAGCCTTTCTTCAGCACTGACGCGAGGCTGCACAGGGCCCCTCACCCGCCCTCCCTGCCAGTGAGGGGTGACCTCCCACCCGGCCCTCCCTGCCTGTCCAGCTGCTCTCACTGGCGTCAAGGATGAGGGCCAAGGGCCCCTGGGCCTCTGTCTAGGTCCTGCCCTGGAAACGGTCATCATGTGGCACCACACTAGTGTCTGTCTGCACACCGGGTTCCTACTGGCCCTGCTCACGGTGCTCTGCCGTCGTCCCCTGTCCCCTTATCCGGGACACAGCTCGGGGCTCAGCTCCCCATGAGGCCTGCTGGACACTCATGCTGTGTGCTGCCGCTTCCTGATATTCCCACGCTGCATTTGTTCTGAAACAGTGCATCTCTGATCTCTCAATCTTTGCATTTGCCGTGTGGACTTTGCAGTATGGGAGATTGAACCCAGGCCCTTCCCACTGAGCTGCATCCCCAGCCCTTTTATATTTTTTACTTTGAGACAGGGTCTTGCTAAGTTACTCAGTAGCCCAGGCTGGACTCACACTTCCTATTCTCCTGCCTCAGCCTCCCAGAGCGCTGGGGAGACAGGCATGCACCACCACACCCTGCTTGCCACATGGATTTAAGACAATGTGTGCTCATATCCTCTCCTTCCAGCCAGTGGGCTCCCAGGGCAAGGATGTCAGTGGCTGTGATCTTATTTAGAAATGAAGTGGTGGATGGGTTCCGAGCGCCCCCCCCCCACTCTTTCCCTCTCTCTGTCCCTGCCCGGCTGGCAGACAGATCCCGTTACACCTGGCCAGGTACGCCAGTTGTCTCACTGGTGTGCTGTCTTGTTCGGCTCTGAGTGCAGGGAATCCGCCACCCTGTGTCTGTTCAGCTCCCACTTAACACCTGTGGGCTGCAGGCTGCGAGCTGACGGAGAGACGCCCAGACCAGGCAACCCCCACCCTGGCAGGAGGTGGCAGACAGGTGATTGGGCGAGCAGTGGGCACTGCCCTTGGAGGACGGGGACACAGCTGACACAGTGGCTGCTCTCTGCACACCGCAGACTGGCCTTGAGGGGCCTGTGTGTGCGTCTGATTCCCGCTTGACAGGGCAGTGATTGTACTTAGCTCGCTGGTTGCATGGAACCAGTGTGCGCTCACATGCAGCGCTGAGCGGAGGACCTGACCCGTCCAAGCATCTGACGGACAGAGCTCAGGGTTGTCACAGCCCGAGGAGGGGCCAGGCCACAGCAGGTACAGAGGACCCAGGGGAAGTGACTGTAAAGCAAACAGCACAGGGTGGCTTGGCAGCCCCTGCGCGGCTGACCCTCCCCCGTCCCCAGGGCCGATGACTGCTTCTGTGCCTCCCGGAAGCTGGACGCGGTGGCCATCGAAGCCAAGTTCAAGCAGGACCTGGGCTTCCGGATGCTGAACTGCGGGCGGACGGACCTGGTGAAGCAGGCGGTGTCCCTGCTGGGGCCTGACGGCATCAACACCATGAGCGAACAGGTACAGCACCCACTGGCTCAGCGCTGCCCTGCCCGCCGCCCCTGCCGGCAGCTGGGGGACTTGCTGTCTTTCTTTAAGGGTGTTCTTGGTCCTCGTTTTTAAAATATAAAAGTACTCTTGTCCATCTCTATAGAAGTAGCACATGATCATTGCAGCTGAAATGGAAAAGAGAGAAAAATAGATGTTTTCCAGAAAGGAGATAATGCCCCAAGCCGGAGGACCGCCACATACGTTTAGCATGCTCCTTCGAGTCCTTCTCCGGCATGATTCTCATTAGCTCCCCGTCTGCCTGTCCCGCACAGCACACGTCCAGGCGAGTCTGCCAGACTGGGAGACACATGGTCAGTCTGGGGACCTCAGGTGGCACACCAGCCCCTGGAGCTGATGGGGACGAGGCGCTGGTGTCCACCAACGGGGCAATTGGGACCATGGGGGACAGAGACGCAGGGCTCCACTACTCGAGTCCCAGATGGGCGGGTACAGGCAGACGGCCGTTCACGGGAGTTCCAGAGGCGGACGGGCAGGGACCGCTTACCTGATGGAGGCCAGCAGTGCTCTTGAGTTGCACCAAGGAGCTCCCCTTCACACACACAAGCACACACATATTGATGTTATTTTTTATAACCTGAGAATTTATTAGATCTAGTTTTTTCCAGTATTTTATACAAAAGAGAGTTTACAGTAGTGCTGAATACTCTTTAAAAGTCACTCCCAATGACTGCATAAAACAGTGCCACTGTGTAGTCCTGAGCCATTTCTTGATTGCTGGATACTTGGGTTCTGGTTGTTTTTGCTAGTGATGCTGGGCTTGACTAACTCACACGGGTCTCTGTGCCATCTCTGATTATCTCATGAGGGAAACTTAAAAATGGAAGTGGTGGCTCAGAGGAAGCAGCCTCTCCTAGGGTCTCGGGCGTCCGTCACCGTCCTGGAAGCCGGGTCTCCTCCCCCTCAGCCTCACCCGTGTTCCCCGAGAATCTCCTTACCTCTCGGCTGCTTTTCCCCGGAGCTTTCCTGCTTTTCTTGTTTACTTAGAGGAGCTCTTTATAGATTTTGCCATATTGTGACACATATGTCTCAATCTTTGAATCTTGTTCGTCACGTTTCCAATTTATGTCATAAACGCGAGAATCTTTTTCCTTTCTGATTTCTTCTATGACCTTTAGAAAGGTCTTCTATGACCTTTACGATGGGAACTAGATCCTGGGACCAGTTAGGCATCTGCTATGGTTATAAATTTTTCCAGAGGTCTCTAATCAAACTAGAAGTGACTTTGGTGTGCGCTGTGAGTAAGGCTCTCACATGTTTTCCCAAGTAGCTGCCTGCTCGGTCCTGTCGACAGTGATGCCCTCCCTCCCCTCCGTTGGCCATGGTGCGCATTTGTAGTAAGCTACTTCTGAAAGCCGTCTCTCCTTCGCTTGCCTCTTGCTTATAAATGACTGTCGAGCCAGATGTCAGTGATGGGGACATCACAGGCTCAGAGGCACCCAGTTCCCCCGATGCTGACCAGCAGCTAAAGGAGCCCCAAAGACACTCGTTATATTGTGAAAGAGAAAATGTCGAGGAAGCCGTGTTCATCAGTTGGATGGCTTGGGCTGACAGTGCCGAATCCAGAAAATCCCCAAGAGCCCTAAATTGAAATCGGCTAAATGTTTTCACAAACAGCTTAGCCCCCTGCACCCTGAGATAGGAAAGCGAATGAAAAGCCCTCAAAAGGACCAGAGACAAATGCAGCCAGCATCGTGAGCTCCCTGCTCGCCTCTGGCAGGGTTTCTAGAGCGTGGCAGGCTGCGGCCCCGACTCACACTGGATTGCGAGCACGAGACAAGCGGAGCCCCCGCCTGCCGTGCACTGGGACGTTCCGTCTGTCTGTGGACTGGCCACCATCACCTTGTAAACGCTCTCTGATTTAACTCACCGCAGGGCATGACCCCCCTGATGTACGCCTGTGTCCGTGGGGACGAGGCGATGGTTCAGATGCTGCTGGACGCCGGAGCTGACCTGAACGTGGAGGTGAGGGCCAGCAGTGAGCCAGGAGAGGGGCCCCCCTCGAGGACCACCGCCACAGGAGTGCGCTTGCACAGATAGGTCGCTCTCCCACGCTTGGCGGTCATGGTCCTGGCAGGAGCGCTGGGCAGGTCTCGTCCACCCCAGGCCCCGGCCGGCCCACTCCTGGGAGCCGCCTACATGCGGTGGAGTTGAGAGCGACCCTGTCTGCCCGGGGGACACGGCTGTCACTGCTCCCAGCTCCCCGTGCATACTGCGATCGGCTCCTCCTGGGATCTGGGCAGAGAGCTCCCCTGAGCTGTCAGCCTGTCCCCTCTGCCTGGCTCTGTCCCCTGAGCTGAGGGTACCCCAGCCCCTCGCCTCCCCCTCTAGATCCCAACCGGCTCGCTTCACTGACTGCTTCCCTAGGGAACCGTCCAGGTCCCCACCCACAAGCTTTGGAACTGAACAGACTTGGGGTGACTTGCTTTGCAGCGCGGACAACTGGCTGACCCTTCTGACCCCATTTGCAGAATGGGATCCCAGTGCACCATGGAATACAGTTGCTGGGAGGAGGCACAGGTCCCAGCACGGGTTCCTGACTCCTTGGGGTTAGTGGGTCCACCCCCTCTCCCAGGCTGCAAACTGGTGACAGCATGTTCTCTGCCATCTGCAGACTGCTCTTCCTGGCGGCCAGAGCAGAGCGACGCACGCTGCAGCCTTCAGTCAGCGGCTTCAGAAACCTTTAAATTCCACACTAGCTGCCCTTGCACTCTGCACTGTGCTTTTTTTATTTTTATTTTTTAAATTGTGAGCTTTGTATTTATCTCAGGAAAGCACACAATAGACACGGGTCTAGATCAGGGCCATTGGGGGAGTTTCCCCCGCTCTGAGGCTCCTGTCAAGTCTGGGTGAGGCTCCCCTGTGCTCCCCACCAGCCCATGCCCCAGTGCAGCAAGCTCAGCTGCAGTATCCAGGGGACGTGGCCCGGGAGCCCCAGGAGAAGAGCATGAGTGGATGCAAAGCTGCTAGGACCTCCCCTCAGCGTCTCAGCCCCTCCCGTGTTGCCATCCCGAAAGCCCAGCCCCGGTGGCGCCTCCGTGACGTACCCCATGCTCCCAGTGACGTGAAGCCAGCAGAGGGGGAAGACAGGCTGGGGAGAGCCGGGTGCAGCGCCAACACCCCTCCCTCCCTTCCTGGGCTGATGTCTGGCCTGGCATGAGAGCCGCTTGCCCGGGTTGCTGTCTCGAGAGCCTCCCGGAAGAGTGAGGCTGGATTAGGAGTGCCACCTCACGCTATCTGATGCCCTGCAGCTCAGAGCCACCCCCACAAGCAGAAGGAGGAAGGGGACAGGCCGAGGAGGGCTCACCCTACCCACATCACTGCTGTCCCAGCACACAATCCCAAGCCGTCCCTTAGCTCCTTGTGGAGGGCATGGAGGACGACAGGCACCGGGAGACTCTGGCCCGGCAGTCTCCAGAACATGGCCAAAGGTGGCAGCTTGCGTCTCTTTTCTCACACACAGGCAGGACCAAGGCCAGCTCCGTGACCACCGGTAGGGGGCCCCACAGGGCAGTCCCCGAATCACCAGCATCTCCCGAGCACCGCTGGGAGCCCTTTTCTGCCTGTCTCCAGCCCATGTGCCCTGCCACAGATAGGTCAGATGTGCTAGCCAGGTATTGCGTAGGTCGCATTTTGAAAATAACCTCATTTGTTTGTAGGTTGTCAGTACTCCTCATAAATATCCATCTGTCCACCCCGAGACCCGCCACTGGACGGCTCTGACTTTTGCCGTGTTGCATGGACATATTCCTGTAGTTCAGGTATTAATGCACTTCCCTTCCACATCTGACCTCTCATTTTACCTCTTGGGTGCAAATCTAAACCTCTCCCAGCATGCATAATCCCAAAGACCTTCATATTGGTTAATTGCGATTACATGGAGGAAATTCATAGCTGCATCCTGGTTAAAGTATCATACATACTGATCTGTTTGGCTCGGCTTTAACCAATATGAAATCATCACGGTCCACACGCAGCCTCACAGGGCCACCCTGAGACACTCTTCCGGGTCACCCTGGGGCGGGGCCTCCACTGTTATTTTGTGGATCTGCTTGGGTTGCCCATTTTCATATGAACAGGAGACCTGGCTGGTGGGGACACCTCGGAGCTCCCTGTGGTGGGGCCAGTAGTTCAGTGGCTTCCGCCAGCAGGTAGAAGCTCCCAGAGGGCAAGGGAGTGTTTCCAAACCGTGATTGTTTGGGTCCCACTTCCGGACGCTCAGATACAGGAGCCCTGGAGCAGGGCCTGGCATGTGCTCCTGGGGACAAGCCCTGGTCCAAGGTCCCCGGGGGCACAGATGTGTGCGCTCCCACAGGCTGTTGGGGGCGGAGCTGATGTCCAGTGAGCTGCTCTCTGGTGCGTCCAGGTACTGTGGCTGGCCTCTGGTCCATGGGAGCCAAGGCGTCAGTGAGTGGCCTGGAGTCCTGAGCTCCCCTGGTCACGATCAGAATCCTGTACAGAGCAGGGAGCTGGGTTCCGGGGACAGCCCAGTGGCGTGGACCCTCACGGGAGCCCTGGCTGTGTCCTGGGTAACAAGCCCTGAGGACAGGTCCAGAGTGACGTTCCAGGGGGCCAGGGTGTGGCTGCCACCCTGGGAGGTGGCTTCAGCCCCAGAAGGCGATGCCTAGCCCCTGCCTGGAGACGGCGCTGTGAGGACACAGAGGCCACTGCCTGACAACTGCTGGCAGGCGGTCCCATCACATCGGGATGGGGACGGAGACCTGGAGTCAAGCCACCTCCCCAGCACAGGTGCTGCCCGTCCTGGAGGACAAGGAGGGGCTGCCTGGCTGTGCCCAGGGTGGCCCTTGGCCAGACACTGGGAGGGAGGTGGCATCACGGGCTCTGCCTCCTGGAAGAGTCTTGGGTACCCTCAGTTGCACGGAATTGGATCCTGAGAGACGAAACTTCTGGATGCTTAGCCACTTCCGTAGCTCCTGGCCAGAGGACTCGGGCCTGGAAGGGACTCTGCCCTGGTTGGCCATGGATGTCCCCAAAGGCCTTCGGAGCTCCAGAGTTGGTGGCTGCAAGAGGCCACTGCACTGCCCAGACCGGGAGTGTCTGGCATTCTGGTGCCGAGGACTTCTGGCTCAGGCTTCTGGAAGCTTCCGTGTGCGTGCAGATCCCGGAGGGCTGTCTGAGACGTGGGCTGTGGCACAGGAGCCTGGACCAGGGCGGGCAGTGGCCTCCCGACAGGCTGTTCCATTGTGCGGCCCACACCGTGGCAGTCCAGGGCTCCGGAGGGCACAGGCAGCCCCAGTTTGTCCTCCAGCCCTGCGCACGGGGTCGTGGCCCGTGCGGGACACCCTCAGCCTCCCGCCCATGCACATGTTCCTGGAGGACCTCAATGGCCCCTCTTCCCCCAGCTCCTCCTGGATGCCGGGGCCAAGGTGGAGGGCTCGGTGGAGCACGGCGAGGAGAACTACTCCGAGACGCCCTTGCAGCTGGCGGCTGCCGTGGGTAAGCTCTGTCGCTGCCCGAGCTCTGCATGTGCCTGGGATGCTGTGCTGCTTCGTCCATTCATGCACCACCTCTCTGGGCTTGCAGGAAACTTTGAGCTGGTTAGCTTGCTGCTGGAGCGTGGCGCGGACCCCCTGATAGGAACCATGTACAGGAACGGGATTTCCACCACCCCCCAGGGGGACATGAACTCGTTCAGCCAGGCCGCGGCCCACGGACACAGGTAGGCTAGGATGGCCACGCGGGGCTTGTTAAGGATGCAGATTCCCAGGCCTGTCCAGACCTGTCCCCTCCTTGGACCCTGCCTGCGAGCCCGAGGCCATGCCACAGACAGCGTCCACGCAGACCCAGGCTTGTTTCATCTGCTCCCAGCCACATGCAGCCATGTCAGTGTGGTGTGTCAGCCTGTGCCGGGTTGGGTCAGGGCTGTCACGTCAGCCATCGGAAGTGAGAGGGCTCCACACAAAAGACGCCCCAGCCCCTCACGTCCCGTGCCCGTCGCGGCTCATTCACGCCTCCCTAGGGAAATTAGATTTAAGCGAACAGCCAACAGGGCAGAAAGTTCTAGAGCCTGCTGGAAATGACTGCGCTCCAGGCTGCCCTCAGCAAACAAGGCCGACCGTGACCCCTCCCCATCCCCGGCATGTGTCGGGGCTCAGACCCCTGAAGCTGCCACCCCAGAGGTGGCCTGTCATCCCCGGCGCCCCACCCACCACCCACCTGCACCTCTGAGTGTCTTCCTCTCGGGTTTGTGATTGACAGGAATGTGTTCCGCAAACTGCTGGCTCAGCCGGAGAAGGAGAAGAGCGACATCTTGTCCCTGGAGGAGATTCTGGCCGAGGGCACTGAGCTGGCAGACACAGCCCCGCCCACCCTGTGTGCCAGCCGCAACAGCAAGGCCAAGCTGAGGGCCCTGAGGGAGGCCATGTACCACAGCGCCGAGCACGGCTACGTGGATGTCACCATTGACATCAGGAGCGTAGGTCGGTGGGGACGCCCCCGCTAGGTCAGGGGTCGGCCTCCCCTTGCCTCTCTCTGTCTCTGTCTCCCTCCACTCTGTCTCTTGGCTCCTCTCTGTCACTGGCTCTCTCTCTCTGTCTCGGCCAGTCCCTGACACACACACACACACACACACAAGGGCCCAGGGGGCTTCTCCCTCGGTAGCTGGAGTAGGCACACAGCCCCTGCCTGCCTCCCACACCTGGGGTGCTGGCTCTGAGTTCTGCAACCTGGGAGACGCCCGAACACAGCTCGCCCCGCACTGCACCCAGGGCTGCTGACAGGGTCTGGACAGAAAAGGCTGGCAATCTCCGTGCTTAACAATCACCCCGGAGCTCCTGTGGTGAAGGAGCCATGGCCCAGGGGCCCCCCAGCGGGCCAGCCTGCAGCCCAGTGCCTTTGCCTGAGCACGGCAGCAGCAGGACCCGGCAGGCCTGGCCTGGGCTGGAGGTGGCCTCCCCCCAGTCTCACTGGGATGGGCAGAAGCTGCCGTTAGAGCAGGTGGCATTGAGGAGCTGTAGGGGCTGTGACCATCCGGCCACAGATGGCCACGTCCCCGAGTCCTGTCAGACAGGGATCCCCCGGCCAGCGGGGGAGACGGGGGTGCGTGCAGGGTGCCAGCTGGTCTCAGCACGCACACAGGCACAGGCGCCCCACACACGCCCACTGTCCCTTCCCGGCTGCTCTCTCTCCCCGCCAAGCAGAGGCACGGAGGCTTGCCTTGTCACGGGGCCTCGAGGTGCGTGTGCATGGGGACAGATGCTTGCCGTCCAGGCGCTGAGTCCCGGCCCCGGCTTCTGCTCATCTTGGCTGTGGTCCCTGCACATCCCTCTGGGTCCCGGTGACTTCCCCGGGAAGGGCAGACTTCCCGATGAGAACGCCGCCTCCTGGGCTTCCCTCCCCCAGGCGTGCCCTGGACGCTGCATACGTGGCTCGAGTCCCTGCGGATTGCCTTCCAGCAGCACCGCCGGCCGCTCATCCAGTGCCTGCTCAAGGAGTTCAAGACCATCCAGGAGGAGGAGTACACGGAGGAGCTGGTCACCCAGGGTCTGCCACTCATGTTCGAGATCTTGAAAGCCAGCAAGGTATGGCGGGGTGGGGCTGCTCAGGCTCAGGTCTGCACGGTCCCTTGGCCTGCGCTGCCCTCCAGGACGGACTAGGGTGGCACTGCCACAGGTGGTGACTGGCCCAGTCGGCTGTGCAGCTACAGGTGTGGCCGCCGGTGACCGAGCACCTGTCGCATCCAAAGGCTCAGGCCATTAGGGATCTCAGACCAAGGGTTTGCACGGAAGCTGGGGAGAGGTGTGTGCCCCAGGGACCCTTGGCTGTTTAGAGAACGAGGTCACCTGGTGCCTGCTAGGAGGGAGCAGGAGGGTGCAGCTCCCTAGAGACCCAGAACGCAGACCCTGCTGGGGTCTCTGGGGGACTGGGTGGAGCCCTGCAGGGAGAGAGGGGAGCAGCCATCCCAGCCCCAGGGCCCACCCTGCCGGGGTCTCTATGCCCAGGAGCAGGGACTGTCGCAGCCACTCCAAACACCAGTCTGGCCCGTGGGGCACTGGGAAGTTGGTTCTTAAAAATGTCTCAGGGCCAGGCATGGTGGCACACACCTGCCATCCCAGCCCTGGAGAGGCTGAGACAGGAGGCTGAGTTTGAGGCCAGCCTGGGCTACCTAGCAAGACCCTGTCTCAAAAGTAACAAAACAAAACAAAGCAAAGCAAAAGGGACTCCCTCTGCAGTTGCTCTTGTGCCAGTGCTGCCCAGACCTGCCACGGAGTCGTGTGTGTGCTGCTGGGGAGACACAGACTAGGCAGGGTTGGTGTGCTAGTCCCCTCCCGCCCAAAGGGGCCACAGCCCAAGGCAGGGTGGCCACGGCAAAGGCCTTGGCATTGGGACCATCAGGGGACCATCCCTGGGACCAAGCTGAGGAGCTGGGATCTCTGAGGAGCCGGTGCCCGAAGCCTCGCCTGCCCCAGGGCTCCTGGGTGGGCACCGGGCTCTGGACCAAACTGCAGGGGCTCGAATCCCGGCTGTGCCGCTTCTCACCTTCTGGCCCTGGTTAGCCTCTTCACCCCTCTCTCTGCTTCTGCTTCCACTTCTGCTTCCTGCCTGTAGCGGAAGGATAATGGTGCAGACCTCCTTGGGTGGTGGTGAGCACAGTGAGGCGGTGCCCTTGTGCCCTGCGCAGGGACCTAGCCTGGAGAAGCTGCCCTCTGCGTGTCGGCCCCGAGGCCTCAGACGGGACAGAGCCCCTCCAGACTCCCTGGGCTCCTCTGTGGGGTCCCCTCAGTGGACCATCCAGACAGTTCACATGGCAACGCCCTAAGGCACCAGCAGTGGGCTCTGGGAGGAAATCTCTTCCTGTGGCTCACGGCTGAGCTGCGTTTCCTTGCAGACCGTCGGAGGGTCCCCGTGGGCTCCTGGGGAGCCACTGGTGTCCCTGTCTCCCAAGCTGCCCTCGGGCCTCCACCTTCAGCCAGCAACAGAGCAGCGGTGAATCTTCAGGCCCAGGGCCCCGTGGCTCCTTCCTGCCCCTGTCCCTCCCGAATCCTCTTCTGCCTGACTTTTGAGGGTTCAGGTGGTGACACTGAGGTCTCCCTGGTAGTCTGCCATGAGCTTCCTATTTTAAGGTGAACTATTTTGTCACTGCTGTGGGCTAAATGTCTTTGTTCCCCTCAAATTCGTGTGTTGAAGCCCTGGCTGCCAAGGTGATGGCTGAGGGAGCAGAGCCTTGGCGGGCAGTGGGATGGGACCGGTCCCTGGCGCTGTCTCGTGCCCCCCTTTTGAGGACATGGCTGGAAACGATCTCGCGGGAGAGCTGCTCTCAGCCCACCGAGACTGCCGAGCCTCGGCCTTAGGCATCACTGCCACCAGAGCGTGGACTGAGCCTCTGTGGCCTGCGGACCGCCCAGCTCTGGGGGCTCTGAGGCCGCCTGGGGAGGTGCCTGTTGCCATTGCGGACACCCCACAATATCCCCAGCCCAGGGGACAAGGGCACATGGTCTTCTGCAGACCGCACAGGGCTCCTCGCACATGACTGTGGGAGCCATGTGCAGCATGTGGGACCAAGCGATGCTGGCTCAGTGGGCTGAATGACAGCATGCAGGGCCCCTGGGCTATGAGCATGTGGAGGGGCCAGGCGGAGGGCGGAGGAGGCAACCTTCTGCCCACAGCCAGGTCAAACCAGAGAGAGCTGCAGACCGAGACCCCTGTGGTTCTCACCCTAAGGGGCACTTACAGCACTGGGAAATGTGTGACTCCAGCTCCCAGGGCCCACCCGGGTTTCTGAGTCTGACGGTCGGGTGAGGCCTGAGGATTTATGATTCTAACGTCACCCAGCTGGTGCTGATGCTGTGGTCCAGGGGACACACTTTGAGAACCACTGCGTCCAGCCAGGGGTCTGTAGCCCCTGTGTGGAGTGATATGGGGCTATTAGCTGTCACCCACTCTTCTGGAACAGGGCAGGCTTCCTGTCCATGGGCTGAGCCATGTCTTCTGCCTTGGGAGCCCAGGCAGTGGATTTGAGAATGGTTGCAATCCTGACATTACGAGCAGCCCCAAGCCCATCCTTGAAAATCTGAAATAGTATTCATTATTCTTATTACAAAGTCAGTGTTCAGTGATGGTAGCAAATATAAATAAAAAGAGAAAAAACCACCATAATTTCACCAATCGTGTTCTATCCTTCCTGACCCACCAGGGGTTCCTTTCTGAGAAGCGAAGGTGAACTCTGTGGTAACTACTTTCCTCCTGAATACCTCCTGTGCTCGCTGCCTTCCATTACTGTATCAGCTTCCCGGTACTGTATCAGACTCCCTGACTGTATCAGACTTCCCATTACTGTATCAGCTTCCCGGTACTGTATCAGACTCCCTGACTGTATCAGACTTCCCATTACTGTATCAGACTCCTGTTACTGTATCAGACTGCCAGTACTGTATCAGACTCCTGTTACTGTATCAGACTGCCAGTACTGTATCAGACTGCTGGTACTGTAACAAAGCACCCCAGGGGAGCTAGCTGTGGCTGGGTTCTGAGGCTCCTGTCCTGGCTGGACCATGGCCGTGGCTGAGAGGAGCCCGAACACCAAGTCCCTGGCAGGCACTTGCTGGCAAGGCCAAGTCCTCCACTGAGCAGCCACCACCCCCAGCAGTACCGCGACGTGGGACCAGGGGCCTCGGGACACTTAGGCAGCCACAGAGAGAGTAAATGTTTCTCTCAGCCCCTCAGTCGCTCTTTCCACCGCTTTGCCCAGCGAGGTGCTGTGTCTGGCTGAATGAAGCCGGTTCAGTGCAGAGGCCAGAGGCGGATGGGAACGGGCCCCTCAGTCCCGGAGCGACCATGGCACCTCATGGAGCCTCGTGGTGGGGGCTTGGGACCGCGTCACCCCCACCGTTTTTATTTTTGGAGAATGCAATTCAGCTGATGAGTCCTGGAGCCAGAAATCCAGCTCATAGCAAAGCTGAATCTGGAGCATTTGTCTTGTTAGTGGCGAGTACAGTCTGGGGACAGGATAATTAGCTGCTTCCACAATTGGAGAGTATTGATAAAGTGGAGTTGGGATTAAAAACTTATTTTCTAAGCGCTGGGACCCTCGGGGACCTGCAGGAAAACGTGGCCCTCTCTCTCACCGCGTGACCGGCAGCCCTGCTCACATGCTTCCCCCTCTCCCCCACAGAACGAGGTGATCGGCCAGCAGCTGTGTGTCATCTTCACGCACTGCTACGGGCCCTACCCCATCCCCAAGCTGGCAGAGATCAAGAGGAAGCAGACCTCGCGCCTGGGTGAGTGGCCTGGACGGGTGGCGGCTTGGTGACTGGCAGGGAACAAGGAGACGAAGACAAAGTAAAGGCGCGACTTTAAGGGCCAGCAGGAGGTGGAGAGGGAGCAGAGGTGGAGTTACTGGGCAGGGACTCTGGGGGGAGGCACAGGGAGGGGAGGGCAGAGCGGCAGCGCCTCCCTCTGATACAGGGGACCCTGGGGTCACAGGGTGTACTGGAGACCCCTGTAGGCAGGGTCCAGTCCCCTGCCCAGTGTGCGACGCAGGCCTGAGAAATAAATACTAAGAGACAGAACTAGGAGAGAAAGCGGGGACCCGGAGGATCAATGCCAGTGCAACCGACAAAGGTGCTGGACTTTTACTGGCAATCAGTTGGGGTAAAAGCGAGTACATGTGGTTTCCATGGAAATCAATGTAAATGAGGCTCATAAAGGACAAGACAAAGCATTCTCGGATTAGGAATAGAATACACAAAATATATGGTTGTAATTAGAACACTCTCCTTCTAGCCTGAAGGTTTAGTTGTGGGAACGGAATTTGGGTGCGAGTTACTCTGACCTTGGCACGTAGGCCTCCGCCAGACTCACTTCTGTAAACCAGCCGGCTGTGGGGTTGACTCTGCACAGCCTGCTTTGGCATAATCAGTATTTCAGTCCTCTGCAGGGTTGGTGCTATCTCTGAAGCCGGGCCCTTCATTCACCCAGAGAACATTAACTGAGCATCTACTGCTCAGCAGTTCCTGGAGGTGCCATGCCAGCCAGTTTGCTAAGCGCTTTACGCAAAACAAGCTGTTTAATCCTGTGATAGAGGCGAACCGTGGCTATTCCCACTGCCATTTCAGAGAAAGGAAACTGAGGCACAGAGCTGCTAACTAATGCAGCCAGGGTCACACAGCAGAGTCCGTGGCCCCAACATCTCCCCACCCTCTGTGCCAGACACAGAAGGAAGCATGGAAGGTGCAGACAGTGCAGATGGGGCCTCGATGGGGCGGGTGATGCCAGGAGGACAGCAGGGGATGGGCAGATTGGGGCTGCATGCGTGCACACGGTTGGCCAGGTTGGAGCAGAGCTTCAGGCAGAGGAGCAGCAATGCAGGGCCCAGAGGTGGCGAGGGCTCTCTCCCAAGTGTCACAGCCATGAGGACAGTTTGCCGGGAGCAACCCAGGCGAGAGGGGAGCGGACGGGAGCAAGCGCCCCGTGGCCTCCTGCGGAGCCCAGGACACCCAGTGGTTAGCATGTGGCAGGGGCAGTCAGCCTGGCACAGGAAGGGCACTGGGGCCCCACAGGGTGGGCACGGGGGCCCTGGGTCCCAGGCATGGGCAGCAGGGGTGAGCGCCCTCCCCAGACCATCGTCCTGGCGAGCATCCTTCCCTGACAGGACACTGGGGCTTCAGACGGAGAACTTGGCTTCAGCCAGGCTTGGGGCTGCACGCAGCCGTCTCAGCTACCTGGGAGGCTGAGGCAGGAGAATACAAGCTAGAGGCCAGCCTGGACCCCATGGGGTCCTAGAGAATGGCTCAGTGACAGCCTCTGGGCTCAATTCCCAGAATGAAGAGACCAGCTCAGTGCAGACACCCCAGAGAGAAGGCACTCAACAGCCAGCCCAGAGTGCTCTCCGATGGGGTGACTGCACCAAGCCCCCGGGGTGACAGCCACCCTGCTCCTGCGGGGTGGGGACAGACGTGGGACTCACAGATACCGCTGGGGCCTCGGAGGTAGCTGGCTGAATGACAGCTGAACAGGAGAGCCTGTGCTGCAACAAAGCAGGCCACACCAGGGCCCCTCTGTGTCCTCAGTTTACCCACCGCACCGCAGCATCCCGTGGTCTCTGCAGTTGCACAGGGCCGGGCTCAAGATGCAGCGAGTGGCCCTGGGAGAGAGGGGCTTGGGACACAGTGGCCAGGCAGCTCCTCGAAGCCACTTCCTCCAGCCTGGGACACAGAGCCAGGTCCGGAAGGGCGGAAGGGCCGGAGCTACATCCTGGGCCCTGGGTGGGACGGGTGCCCCTGCCACACCGGGAGACCCCTCGGGCCACCAGAGTCTCGCATAGGACAGCCCAAGGCTGTGAGCACCTCCGAGACGCACTGGACAGCAGGCCCTGGCCCCTCCCCGCCGGCTGCCTCTGGGGAGCAGGGGCAGGACCGAGGGTCTGTCTCCTCGCCTGACGCTGCCCTGCCCTTCCCTCCTAGACCCGCATTTCCTCAACAACAAGGAGATGTCCGACGTCACCTTCCTCGTGGAAGGGAGGCCGTTCTATGCTCACAAAGTGCTGCTGTTCACAGCCTCCCCCAGGTGCGTACCCGCTGTCTGCGGCCGCGTTCACGCTCTGCCTGAAGCTCCATGTCTGTGGCATTTTTCACTGCGCTGGAACAGCCTATCCTCAAAATCAGGGATTCCAGAGCACGGGAAGCCCCTCCGTGCAGCCTAGAACAAGGCTCTCCTCAGGCAGACAGCCCTTGCCTGGACCAGAGCTTTGTGAGCAGTGCATGACTGGATTGGGGCCTCCTCAGCCAGGTGCCCTTGGGCAGTGAGCAGCCTGAGACCCCTTCCATGGCAGCCTGCAGCGGCCTACTTGACAAGTGTCAGGGAACAGCCTGGCATAAGCTGCCAAAAGGCACAGGTCCCGGCCTTCCTTCTCCCTGAGTCCACAGATGCTGTTGTCAGGTAGTCAGAAAGGAGGCGCTGCTCCCCTCCCCTCTTGATGGACAGCAGGGAGCCGTTCTGCCCTGGGCCAGCTGAGGATGCCGGGACCAGCACAGGCACCGAGGCTTCCAGGAAGGCCGCTGGGACCGCGTGCCCGGCAGCCCTGGTCTGCAGCAGCGCCTGGTCTCCCCGGTGTCCCCCAAGGCACACGCGCACCCCGAGGTCTTCGCCCCTCACAGTTCTGCTGGCGATGCCACAGACGAGCAGCAGAGCGCAGGGCCAGCATCTGACTCCAGCCGAGGGCCGGGCGGGAGGGAACAGGCCAGTGCCTGACTTCCTCCGTGCTGCCAGAGCCGAGGACGGCACCCTTGGGCGGGGCTCTGCCCCCGAGGGGCTCAGGTCTGGTGCTGGGCAGGAAACGCACCCAAGATGGAAGCCAGGCCCCAGCTCGGGAGAGGCCCCCGCACGCAGCACCTTGGGTGGGCACCAGACAGTTCCCAGTCACCAGTCTGAGGACAGCGTGACAGTGTCCAAAACAGTTTTTAGCTTTGCGCTTCGACTTTCGACCAGACTAAGGATAACACCAGAAGGGTTTACTCTAGGAAATTATGAGCTGAATGTGCTGGGCCACGTCTCTAAACCAGCTGCTCAGGAGGCTGAGGCAGGGGGGTTTCAAGTTAGAGACCAGGCTGGGAACTTAGAACCTGTCTCAAAATAAGACAGAAAATGTTAAAGGGCTTAGGATGTGGCCCCGGGAGGCCCTGGGCTCAGTCCCTGGACCACAAAGGACATCAGGCAGATATCTGAGGCCGCCTGCTGCTGGGTCACAGAACTGGGGTCCTGCAGGCTGTGGCAGGGCACAGGCCTCTTGACTCCCTGTGTCTCACACAGATTCAAGGCCCTCTTGTCCAGCAAGCCAGCCAACGACAGCACCTGCATAGAGATCAGCTATGTGAAGTACCCCATCTTCCAGGTAAGCCCCTGGGGAAGTCCGGCAGGGGCTGGGGGCCGCTGAGCCGGGTCAGGGGACATGGGGCGAGGGGCACCCTCTCCTGGAGACTCGCGGTGTCGACAGGGTGGCACATGTGTCCTGAGGAGTCCGCAGAGGGGCAGCCGGAAATCCAGGAGGGGTCGGGGCCAAGGAGAAGCTGGGGCGAAGGAGGGCTGGGGGCTTGAGGGAGCAAGACGTCCCAGGGAGGGCACATCTAGGCCGGGCAGTGACGGCCGACCTCCAGGTCTCGAGGTGCCTCGGAGCACAGCAGGGCCTGCCAGGCAGGACAAGGCAGGCCGCACGGGGCACCTCCTTCCACCCTGACCCTGTCCCTGAGGCCCCGCCGTCCGCAGGGCCATCAGGAAGGCACCGGCCCTCAGCCTAGCCCTGAAGCCTGCCGAGGTGCCTGAATTTCCACCATTAGGGATGTGCTCCTTTGGCTATGGCTGAAACTTGAAAATAAGGAATCCTCACTAGGCGTGGTGCTGCACAGCTGCGATCCCAGCGCTCTGGGAGGCTGAGGCAGGGGTCACAAGTCGGAGCCCAGCCCGGGCGATGTAGTGGCTTTAGTGAGAGCCTGTCTCAGAATAAATGAGTGAACAGAAAGGGGAGAAAAGAGAGAAGAACCCTTTGCACATAACCAAGAGAAGGCACTCGCTTCTCTGTGCCTCATCTGTAATAATCGTCATCATTCGGGTCTCAGGTTCTCTGAGGGATTAAGTGGGGCCAGGCGAGGAACTGTCAGGCTGGCGCCTGGCACCACACGGCCCCTCGAGCCAGGGGTGGACAAGGAGAGCACCGGTGTCCGCAGCAGGAGGGGGCGCGGGGCGGAGGGGCTGCCGCACCCCTCCCATGCTCGGCATCATGGCCGCTAATAGCGCAGACCTGGCCTGTGGGGACAGAGCGGCCACCCCAGCTTTGGGGGGAGCAGCAGGGAGCCGGGCGAGCCCCGGCCTCGGCGGGCACTGGCTGTCAGGACTGTCACTCCCATTTCTACAGAGGGGAGACAGGCAGGAGAACTGAGAGGTGGCCAGCAATGTCGGCCTGGTGGAGGCAGCGCCAGGGCTCCGACCCATCTGCCCAGTGGCGAAGCTCAGGGCTCTGCCCCGGATCCGGGATGAAGAGCGTTCTCCCCGCCAGCCGCGCTGCCGGCCCCACTGCAGACCGACCGAGTCGGACCCGGCCTCGGACCTCCACCTCCTGCTGTCCCTGTGCAGCCAGGTGGGCACCAGTGCCCCAGGCTGGCCCGCTCTGCACACTCCAGGTGTCCTGTCCTCTGGGCAGGGCGGGGCCTCCCCAGCTGCTGCTGCAGATGAACAACTCGCATTTCTCTGAGAACCTGGTGTGCCCGCCCTGCTGCCATCTCAGGCCTCTTCCACCCACCCTGCCACTGAGCGTTTAGAAGGTAGTGCATGCACTGGCACATGCCTGGGATCTGTCCACTCGGAGGCTGAGGCAGGAGGATCGCAAGTTCAAGGCCAGCGTGGCAGTTGCAAGACCGTCAAAGGGAAAGAAAAAAGGCTGGAGGCACAGCTCGGTAGTAGAGTGCTCGTCTGCTGTGCACAAGGCCCTGGGTTTCATCCCCAGGGCGGCGAAAAATGAGGAGGAGGAGGAGGAGGAGGAGGAGGAGGAGCAGCCCGAGACCCGGGCCCTGGTGTTGGCGGAGCTGAGGTCCAGGCCGGCTGCTCAGCCCTGTCTCTCTCTCCTCATGGACACCTGGGTCCTCCCCGTGTCACCAGTCCTGCAGGAGGAGGCCCGGGCCCCTGAGAGCTTGTCATGACCTGGAGGCCGAGCAAGGGGCCGTGGAGGAGCCTGGCAGCCTCCGCACACTCTCCTGAGAGGAGTGAGAGCCGGGCCCCCGGGGGCTTCCTGGCCACACAGTCCCTGCCTGGGAGGGGGGAGCAGAGCCTCATCTGTGGCTTGAAATGGGCCCTGAGGGAGGCTCTGGGAGGCAGGAAAGGCTCCTAAAGGAGGCCGCAGGGATGGGGCTGTGCCTGGCCACAGACCTCCCCGCCTGCTCCAAGGAAACCCGGGAGCAGCCCCTGGCCTAACGCAGGCACCCACACCCAGTCCTAGGAGGGGGTTCGCTGGCAGAGTCTGGTAGGGCCTGTGACACTGGATTCGAATCCCACCAGCCAGGGACCCTGGCTTCCCGTGTGGCTGGCAGCTGTGCTGGGGCAGACGCTCTTCCACTCTGACTGTCATTGGCACTGGGCATCCGCTGGTCGCTGACCTGGTGTCTTGTCTGCTGTGATCAGGACTGTTTCCTCCCCTCCAACTCGGTACTGTCCACAGACCCAGGCCCAGTGCGGCCAGGCTGCAGTTTAGCATCACGGCTGGGGTAGAGCCCGGCAGGTGAAGCCAGGTGGACAGGCAGGGGGACAGCAGGGCAGGGAGACCAACGCACAGCTCAAAGCCCGAACACACGTGGGAGGGCCAACACCCAACCCAGTCACACTGCCGAGCCCTGCTCCGTTCAGGGATAGCCGTCAGCAAAGCTCCAGGACTTCGCCCAGTGTTGGGACATCGCGAGTCCCACCACAGGAGCCATTGGTGAACACTGAGACCCGGGCCCTGCGGCTCCCCTGGGGTTCTGTGCACGTGTAACAAGGAGCTTGCTCCCCGGTGGTCCTGGGGACTTGAGGCCGGATGGGCCATGTCCCCGGTACAGCCTGACAGGGCTGGGTGGCGGGAACCCCGTAATCCCCATCCCCGTGGGGAAAACAGCCAGAGGAGTGGAGCTGGGGACCAACCCACCGGTCTGGCCCTGGGGGGACAGCGGGGTTCCCGCCAGGCCGCAGTGGGACAGGCCCGGGGTGGGCGGGGACGGCCGGGCTGACGTGCCTCTCCCTTCCAGCTGGTCATGCAGTACCTGTACTACGGAGGCCCCGAGTCCCTGCTCATCAAGAACAACGAGATCATGGAGGTGAGGCCGCCATTTCCCCTGGGCGGGACGGGCTTCTCCAGTGTCCCCTGGGGAGACCCCTACTCCACAGCTTTAGGGGGCAGGGGCTCCCAGGGAAGTTGGGGGTGGCACCGCTGTGGCACAGCGTCACCAGCAAATGACCTGGGCAGAGCCCCCTCCTTGTCTGTGAGAGAACTGGCCCACCAAACGCATTCACTGCCCAGTCCCAGGCTGCCCTTTCCCCGTCACTGGTCACCACACGCCCGTCCTCATCCCCGTCCACCTCCACCCTGCCCACGCCGAGGGTCCCGCACCTTTCCAGAAGTGGAATTCAGTCGCTTTTCCCAGTCAAAGTGGGAGCTTTGGAGCTGAGGCCGGAGATCCCCGCCGTGTCCCTCGGCCTGAGCCAGGCCCGGTGTGGAGGGGCAGGGTGCCGGCTGCTAAAGACGACCCAAGGCTCTGTCCAGGTCTCAGCTGCGTGACCTGGGACAGGCTACTTGGGCTCCTGGAGTCTGTTTCCTCCCCGAGAAGCGCTACCGAGGGGTTTTCAGGGGCTGCTGGCAGTGTGTCTGCAGAGCAGGGCCGGCGGGACTCCTCCAGGCAGGGCTGGGGACAGGCCAAGGCCAGCGCTCTTGTGTAAACAGTTGGAAATCTCTTCAAAATCAAAACAATGAGCAGTGTTTTTAGGGGAGCTGAGTTAGCACAGAGCTGCAGACCAACCCCGCAGGGGAGGCCTTGGGGGGCACCGGCCCCAGCAGCCCTGAGCCTGAGCAGGTTGCGTGGAGGCCGACGGGATCGAGGTTCAGCAGGGGCTGCCCGGGCCGTCTCCGCCTCCTCCCGACAGCCTGTCCCCTCCACCTCCGCCTGGGCGGGGGCGGGGGCGCCGAGGAGGGGCCCTCACTCCGCACCGCACCGCCGTGAGCACCGTCAGCATGCGGGCCACCCCTCGCGCCCCTCCCGTGGCAGAGCTCTGCCCGCCCCCACCCCAGCCGCCCTGAGAGGAGAGAAGGAAACGCGGCCGGTCCGCGGGCTCCCTCTGCTCTCCACCGCACCGCTCACTGCTCTCCTTGGTCCCAGCTTCTGTCGGCCGCCAAGTTCTTCCAGCTGGACGCCCTGCAGCGGCACTGCGAGATCATCTGCGCCAAGAGCATCAGCGCGGACAACTGCGTGGACATCTACAGCCACGCCAAGGTGAGGCCGGCTAGCCTGCGCTCGCCTGCCGCGGGCCTCTGCGGCGGTCTGCGCCGCACCTTGAAGAGGGAAGGCTCGAAACCCTGCCTCCCGGAGGCAGCGGGGTCGGCTGGGGAACCTGACTTGCAGGCCACGCCCCGGACGTCCCAACCAGAAGCTCCAGAGGGTCCCGCCTGCAGTTCTGACAGCGAGCGGGGCTCCCACCTCCCCTGTGCCGGTCTCTCGGTGGATGGGCTCCCCCTTGTGGCGCTCTGAGCCCGTGGCGCTCTGCTCAAGTCCGCTCTCCTCCGGGGGTGCAGTCGGGGGCACAGCACTGAGACTGGAACCCGGATTGGTTCCGCTCCAAAACTGATCCCTAACCCTGTGTCTGTGTCCCTCATAAACGTCTGGAATATCTCCCACAATCTTCAGGACTGAAAGCTTTTCCAGCCAGGTGTGGCGGTGCACGCCTGTCATCCCAGCCCTTGGGAGGCTGAGGCAAGAGGATCGCAGTGTATTTGAGGCCAGCCTGGGCTACATAGCAAGACCCCTGTCTCACAAACAAAAACAAAAGCAAAACAAACAAGAAAGCTTTTCCAGACTGCTGCATCGCTCAGCAGAAGAGCATTTGTGGGACACACACAAGGCCTTGGGTTCACCCCAGCTCCTCCAAACACAGGGACTTTGATTGGCTATCCGTAAATGAAAAAATACAGTCGACTTCACACACCCAACACACACACCCACACACACCCACACACCCACACACACGAGCATCCCGCCTGATGACCAGCAAAATCTGGTTTCTCTACGCAGCGATCTTTCCAACCTTGTACTGATTACTCTGCCCCCCCTACCCAGGAAGAGCCCGCTCAGCCTTGCGGTCCACGCCCTGCTGCCTTGGCTGCAGCTACTCAAATTCCCCGTGAACCTGACTGGTCTCCACAGTGGCTTTTCCACAGCTGCCAGCCTGGTGTTGAGTCCTATTTTATTCCCTCGGGCTCCTAAGCAGCAGTGTCTGCCCAAGTGGAACCCAGGCTGGACACAGGGTCAGGGACAGTCCCCTAGGCCACGGACCTCCACCTCCTGGGAAGCCAGCTGCGGACTGGGATGGAGAACACAGGCTGGGAAACCAGGGCATCTGTTCCCTGGGGTTACTGACCTCTCACTCTTTACTGGGAACTGCATTCATCAGAATGTAAGGGACTAGTGAGACCTGGTCCCTACTGCTGAAAAAATTATAATCCGGGACAAAGATCAGCCAACATGTCCTGTGAGTGGCCAGATCACTATTTTCAACTTTGTAGGCCATGCAGCTGCTGCTGTACCTACTAATTCTGCCTCTGGAGTCCAAAGGCAGCCAGATGTGATATGTTAGCAAATGGTGTGGCTGTGTTCTAATAAAACTTCACTGACAGAAGCAAGTGGTGGGCCACATTTGGCCCACGGGCCTGCAGTTTGCCAACCTCTGGTCTAGGCAGTGGGGGCTCCAGTTCCGCCTCTGCCGGCCATTAGCCGTGTGGAAGGGAGCAGGTGGCTGGTCATAGACACAGTCAATAAACATCAGCTATTACAAATGTGTTAACTGTGCCTATTCTCCATTTATACTGCCTGTGCTGAGTGACAGTCACTCACAAGGTCAGTACAAGGAGGGGCTGTGGCCACAGAATCTGACATAGGCAGCTTTGAGCCTGAGTTTCCCCACTTACAAAGTGAGGCCTTGAACTCCATGGCTGCAAAGGCTGGAGGGTCAGGTCCTTTCTGTAGCCAGGCCCCCTGAGCAGGCAGCTGCCTTTCTCATGTGTGTAACCATCGCTTCCACTCCCTTTCCATAGTTCCTCGGAGTCACGGAGCTCTCTGCCTACTGTGAAGGCTACTTCCTTAAAAACATGATGGTCCTCATTGAAAATGAAGCATTCAAGCAGCTCCTATATGACAAAAATGGCGAGAGGACCGGCCAGGATGTGCTCCAGGACTTACAGAGGACGTTGGCCATCAGGATTCAGTCCATCCACCTGTCGTCCTCCAAGGGCTCCGTGGTGTGAGTGTCCAGTGTGCGAAGGTGGCCTGGGGACCGCAGCTGTCCTACTGCACTGCCTGCACCAACACATATGATCCCACCTGGTGTCTGGCTTGGCCACGGAGCAGTCTCGCTGCCTCGGCTGTTCTTGAATTGGCGAGCTCAGCTCCCATGTGCTTCTGTGGGAACTTGGAGCACAGAGCAGGGCACACCATTGAGGAGCCCCCCCATCCACATGGGGCCACCGTCCCCCGGACGGATGAGGCCAGAAGGCCTTCCGGGTTCCTGGCCGACCAGAGGCACTTGAGTCACATGCCTGAGACCTATGCTGACCCGGAAGCAGTTGTGTCTCATGTGTGAGACCTCGGCAGCTGCGCTGAGCAGAGGTCAACCATGGCAGCTCACGGATGAGGCTATTACGCTGATGAGGAAATGTTTGGCTAATTTTTAGGGGTGGGAACTTTTTAAAATTGTTCATACTGTAACAACAACAGGGCAGTCTTGTAGTTTAAAATATATTTCTAAAAGCTTAACAGTTCATTTTCAACTGAATTGTGTTTAGCAATCTGTGTTTTGAGGTTCTTTTCTTCTTTTTTAAACAGTAAGCTGCAGGTCCGCACTGTGTAAACACGCACACGCATCCGGCAAGCTCTTGTTGATACTCTGACAAGGTGAATAAGCCTGCCTTAGTGATCCTGGTGACACAGGAGAGGTGCACTGCCAGACACTCACTCTAGTCAGTGGTTGGAAACCACCTGCATGCTGATCGTGGTTTCGGGGTGAGGATAGGACACCCCACATAATGGAACATGCATCTGCATGGGGCAGAACCTGTACCACATTATGTTTGTAAAAATGTCCCATCAGTTCTTGCTTAGAAGTCTACCTGGTGACACTAGCATATCCATTTCTTCTCTAATCACGATTGAACCAGATGCTTTTGCAGAAATGCGTTCATAGCTGATGTTGGGGGGAGGGGGGAGCACGTCAGAAAATTCACTCTTAACCCAGAGTTTTTGCTGTATTCTCAGAAGATGTTAATAGTTTGTTACTAGCCAGAGAGTATGACTATGTTAGACTATTTTTCAAGATGAACCATGTATGATAGGAGGTACTTTCTGTATTCCAACAGTGTACAGTTAGGGTTCTCTGTAACGAAAGTCTATATCGACAGGGTTCTGTTCGATCTGCCATATATTATATAAACCTATATCTATATAAGAAAAAGAGATCAGTGAAGTGCCACAATATCCCAAATGATTTCTGAGTTGTGGCCTTTCATGTTGTCCTTTAATTTAAACCCTAGATACATACAGCTTAAAGAACTAGGAGAATGACTCTTAGCCTTTGGGATGGCAGGGTTTGGTTGACAAACTCACTTCCTAGCATGCCTGTGGGAAGCGCCCAGTCTCGGGGTTCCGAGGAGCTGCTGTCTCCCACCTGCTCGTCCCCTGCACCCTCGGCCGAGGCCCACGTCGAGTCCTGTGCCACGCGCAGGTCACGCCTGTCACTGTCTCCAGCTCTGGCTCCTCTGCGACACAGCCGTGGGCTTCCCTGCCCCGTGATCATCTGCAAGCCTCTCCAGCCCCACCATTGCCGAGCAAGGAGGGCGGTAGCCAGGTGGCTGCCCTCAGATCTGCCCCTCGCAGGCATCCCCACCCTCGGCGGACTCCTCTGTGAGCGTCTGGTGTGTGTCGGGGCCTCTGGGTTTTGCTTTGTACCTGGGCAACTCCTGCCAGGGCTTCTGTCGTGGTTTGGTGTGCTTTCTCGGCCCGTCATTAAAGAAGTGATTTTCCCACACTGCGCCTCCTTTGCATGGTGCGAGTGAGCCCTGCCGCACGGCTCAGGGATAGGACAACGTGGCCGCGTGCGAAGGCGCGGGACAGGAAGACACTGGGCAGCAGGGTGCTCCTGGTGCGGGCGGGCACTTCTGAGTGCAGCCCGGTTCCTTCCCGTCGGTGGGATTCACGGGTGTGGCCACCTGGGCCTGTGGCCGTACCTGCTGCCTGCTTTGAGAACTCGCCTGCTGCTCGTGTGTGCACCCTGATGACACTTTGGAGGGTGGGCCTCAGTGTGGTGTGCCCCGAGGACAGGTGAGTCGATGCCCCTGGGTGGTGGCAGTGTTCCAGGATGCGGTTGGCAGACAGAGGGCAAGCAAGCAGCTGTCTTCTTGGGGGTCATTGTTGCTAAGGTTAACCAAGTGCCAGGGGGTGTGCGCTGGCCCAGGCAGGCCCCGGAGAAAGGGGTCCCCCTGGCTAACCCACAGGACCTGCCAGGCATCCCCAGACCTGAGCCAGGAGCAGGTAAAGGGCCGACCTCACCCCTTCCCCGGGACATCCACCGGCCTCTCTGCATCCAGTTCTGCTGCTGCTTAAGAAGCAACCAAAGCAGCCAAGCGCCTGGGGCGGGCCAAGCGGAGGTCACTTTTTCTGGCTGTTCCCGCCCTCTCCACGGTGCCCAGTGGGGAGCTCTTCGGCTCCTTCTCTTGGGAAGAAAACTCGCGCCCTGTGGTGCTGGCCATCTGCTTGCTCAGCGGGCTGCTTGGCTGCTGGGCCTGGGCTGAGCCTGGACGAGGCCCCTGGGGGCTGGGTGCCTGTCACAGTCCCCCCCCCACGCACTCCTTTCCCAGCGGGAGCCCGGGAGACTGCACGAAGCTGCCTGAACAAAGCCCCCGTTTCTCTGCCCACCCCGGGCCATTGGTCCACCAGGGCTGCGCCTGAACCTCCTCGCCCAGGTGAGGACCAGTGCCCCAGTGGGCCCAGGCTGGCTGGAAGGAAGTTCAGTCCCCTCCAGGGCAGGGTTGGGTGGACGACCCTGTGATCCATGGGGCTGTTGGGGTGTGGGATCTCCGGGTGCTTTTTCCTGAAAAGCCCCAGGCAAAAAGTGCTGCTCCTGCTGGGACTTTGAGGAAACAGTCTGTTTCAGCAGCTGTGGCTCTCTACCCTCAGAGTTCAGTGCTGGCCTCTCTCTCCCAGCCTTGCATCCTTACTCTGGCCACCTCAGGTCACAGAGACGTCCACTTCCCCTCCTGATGGCCCTGCACCTCCCCCCACACACCCTCTCCCTGAGGGGCCGCTCCTGTGCCATAGGCCTTGACCCAGCTCCAACCGGAAAACCTTCCCATTCCAACCCTGTGGGGTCCTGGCCAGCTTTGAAGCATGCAACAAGTTCCTTGTCTAGTTTTCAGTTTCCTGCTGCAAGCTTGGGTTCAACCATCCACAGCTCGTTACAGGGTGCTGGGGGGTGAAAGGAGGAACTCTGCACGGGTGCCCGCTGCTGGTGCTCGGAACAGGCATGAGCAAGCTTCCAGGCAAGGAAAGGGAAGGAGACTCAGTGCACACAGGAGATGAAGGCTCCTTTCTAGAACGTTCCACAGCAGCAATTCCCAGGAAGGCTGTGAGTCTCTCGGGTTTTGCTGCTCATTGCAGAGCCACCGGGAAGTGCCCCAGCTGGAGCCTCCACAGTCAGAATCCAGAGTCACTTCCGTTGGTGGGAGCCGAGTCCATCAGTTCCCCTTCCCTAGAAATATGATATTCCCTGATGTTCGGGTCGCAGGGTCTTCCGAGTCCCTGTGACTCGGCATGTGGCCCTGTGGCACATGGCTCCCATGTGACCCTCTAAGGTCCAAGGGCCCACACACCAGACAGGCCCAGACCCACAAGGGCTGGCACTCAGGTCCATGCAGAGAAAGAAGCCAAGTTCCCTATGTCAGCTCGGCGCTGCTCCCCGCATTGAGTCACAGCTGAGCCCACGTCCTTAGCTGCCACGTGAGTGTGTGGCTGTCCTCACCCCCTGCACCCAGACCCCTCCCTGATGAAACCGCACCACCTCTGGCCCCTCCAGCTGGGCCGGGGCCGGGACCAGAGCAGTGAGCGCCTGTGGACAGGCCCTTTGCGGAAGCAGGTTCAATGCCTGTTTTTCACCCTTGCTCAAAATAACCCAGCAGATTTTGAACTTCCTGCTTGGGTGAAGAAATAGGACTCGTACTCAGCAATCACACTGCACTTCCATTGCCATCTCTGATGAGGCAGTCAGATGGCGGTGCCCTGAGAAGGGACGCGGCTCCCAGGTTAGCTCCAAATCTGAAAAGGCCTGAACAGGCAATTGCAAGAGATGCCTGCGCCCCGGCTCGGGGCTGCTGCTTTACGGAGCTGAGCTTCGGATGAGCTCTGAATTCTAACAACACCTCGGGCCTCTGGGCCAGGAGCTGCACACAGGAGGGGCTGGTAGGACCCGGGGCGCAGCGCTACTCCACCGCCTGCTGCTTCCCTGGACCCTCTTCCTCAGCTCCAAGTGGGCATCCGGGCGGCCTGGCCTGGGGGCTGCCACGCTCCCCTCGCTGCACTCACTCTAGGACTCTGTGGCGCCCCCGCTCGGTGGGGTGGAGCCCTGCGGCTGCACTGGGGAGGCCCAGGGGGAGCGCCGAGGGCTTCCATGCACCGGGCTCCCAGCCGGCCAGACACAAGCCCGGACAGGCTCCACCGCACAGGAAGGCCTAGCCACACACTGCCATCCCCTCTCCGTTCGGGGTTTATGATTGTTTTGGTTTTTATTTTGAAACAATTGTAGATTTGCAAGAAGGCCTTTGTACTTCCCAGTTTTCCCCAGCAGACACATCTTACGTGCACCAATGGCAACATCAGCACCGGAAATGGACACGGTACAGCCAGGCATGGAGGCGCCCGCCTATAAGCCCAGCACTTAGGCTGAGGCAGGAGGACCACAAGTTCGAGGTCAGCCTCGAACCCTCTCAAAACAGAAATGGACACGGGCGCAGCGTGTGTGCGTTTAGACCGTGACATCGGTGCAGATTCGTGTGAACACCATCGCAACCTCCGTTCCACCCCCACAGACCTGTCTGGGCGACCCTCCCAGTCGGCCTTGCCTCTTTCCTCCTGAGGCCCTGAGCCCGACCCTGGCAGCCATTCACCACTGCTGCAGGGTTGTCATTTTCAAGACACCATAGAAATGCAGGTTTCTCTCGCTGCCTTTCAGGGTCGGCACTTTTTCTCACTCAGCCCAACGCTCCTGAGATGGCTGGTAGCTGCTTCCTATCGCTGTGACAGACACCCGAGAGCACAGGAGGAAGGGTGCCTCGGCTCCCAGCTCCAGGGGCTTCGTCCGTGGTCAGCTGCCTCTGCGGCGCTTCCGCCTGGGGCGGGGCAGAAACTTGGGGAAAGGGAAGCTGCTCAGCTCACGGCAGCCAGACGCAGAAATTGAGAGAGCCGGAGGGGAAGGGGCCACACACGGTCCCCAAGGTCCTGCCCGCCCACCCTCCACCTCCCAGTAACCCACTGAGCTGTGAAGCCTCCATGGGTTCATCCGTCCGTGAGGCTGGTGCCCTCGAGACAAGGTCGCTTCCCAAAGCCTCAGCCACTGGCCTTTGGGGACATTTAGATCCAAACCGTAACAAGATCCTTCCAAGGGCACCACGTGTTCCAAGTCCTCATTCTTTTTCATTGCCCAGTAGTATTCGTATTCCCTACCGTGCGTGCGTGCGTGCGTCTGTCCCGCCCCCTTTCCCCTTCCCCCTCCCTTCCCCGCTCCTGCTCTAACTCCGTCTCCGTGTGGATGGAACTCGAGCCTCACTCTGCCACTGAGTCACACCCCTTTCACCAAGCACGTGCCATGTCAGGAAGGGGAGAAGTAAGATGTCACCTCTATACCACTTCTGTCTCCTGGCCCTGGACCCGGGCTCCTCGCACTGCGGTCCAGGTCAGAAGGAGCCGCCGGAGTTGAGGGTGGACCAAGATCGCAGCCCACTTGGTCTGAACAGCCTTCTGCCCGGAAGTGAGGCTGTCTCAGCTGGCTGTGCTGGGGCTTGCGCCCAACCCTGGTGCTGCCGGGCCCGGCCACGCCTAATAGCAGAGGCAGAGGACGGTTCCTCTCTGCTGGGGACCTGCCTGTGGCTCTTGTCCCTTCCCCAGTCTGGAGTCCCTACTGGAGCTGGTCAGGAGTTTCTTCCTGGCTCAGGCCACGAAGACATTTCAGCAACGCAGCTGAGAAGCTGACTGGGCACGTGGAGGGTCGCAGCCTGGCTGCAGGCCAGGGATCCCCTACACAGAGCCTGACTCTCGGGTCTCTGGCCACTGAATCCAGCTGTCTCTCAGGTCTCTGAGACGCCCCCTCCCCTCATTTGCACGTCTCTCTCGGGTTGAACAGTGGAGCCAAGGAGGCTCCGGGTTGCTTCTGGTCTGTGCTTCAAGGCTGCTCTTGCAGATGCCCCAGGAGTGGCAGGGCTGCGGGGCCCAGGAGATGGAAACCGAAGCTCGGGCCCCCCCACCTTCCCGCCAAGAAGTCCAGAGAGTGGGGCCCTGAAGGA